CATTTGACAGCTTTGCTGCCTTGTTTCATGTTTATAGTCCTAATCAAGTGACATGACCCATAAAGTTATGGTTTTGTTTTTCTCCCCCAGAGAAATCCCATCATTGGAGACAAGTTTGCTAGTCGTCATGGTCAGAAGGGAATTTGCAGGTATGGATTAATAACAGGCCTCTTTATTCTTATTAAATTGTTATAATATTATATATACTAGTATTATTATTAGTGTAGTGCTAGAGGTTATTTCCTAGTGATAGTTACCTGAGATTAACAAGTATTAACACTGTGACAAAACTATGTGACCCTTTTTGAATATTTCTACACATGACAATTTTTATGGATTGTTTAAACTGTATTTTTTCTATTATTTGATGATTTTTAGGAGCCTGATTGAAAGCAAATGGCTTTCCCATTCTTTCTAATGAATGTTATGTCTCAAAAATAAATATGTTAATTTATACTGTACTTATTTGTGCTACTATTATTATATTTTATTGTTATTATATCTCATACAGCCAGAAGTGGCCCAATGAAAACATGCCGTTCTCGGAGAGTGGGATGACGCCCGACATCCTGTTTAACCCCCATGGATTTCCCTCTCGTATGACAATAGGTATGTCTCAGTACTTTACACACACTCAATTTCAGAGGTTTCTGTTGATCATGATAATGTCCAGGAAAATGGTGGATGGGACTGCAGTTTTTCTCCATTTTTGCCAAACATCTTTCAAATTACGTTTGGACATTTCAGTAAGTTGAAAAACGAATTAAAAATTATTCTATGATAATTGTCTTTGTGTTTTATACATGCTTTAAACTAGCAATTTATAAATCTGCCATTTTCTTCAAGGTATGATGATAGAGAGTATGGCAGGGAAATCGGGAGCTCTCCATGGATTGTGTCACGATTCCACGCCATTTTGTTTTTCTGAAGAGAATCCAGCTATAGATTACTTTGGAAGAGCTTTAACAGCAGGTAAAGTTGGCTCCCACTGAGGGAAGAACCCTTTTTGCAAAAGAAATGAAGTCAAAAACTTTTCTTGAATAAGACTGCTAAGAATTGTTACCAAATAAGATGTGTTTCCCAAAGAAAAAATTGACTGCTTTCAAGTTGTTTTCAGAAATGTTTATAGATCAAGCCATACTATTATTGTCTTGTAACTGATTTATTTAGTAAATTATTTAAAGCAGAGCCTTTTTATCACATTGTTTTCCTACTGCAATGGGTCAAGTTACTCCATCTTTCAGCTGGGTACAACTACTTCGGGACAGAGAGGATGTACAGCGGCATAGATGGCAGGGAGTTCGAGGCAGACATCTTCTTTGGCATCGTGTATTATCAAAGGCTGCGTCACATGGTGTCAGACAAGTTCCAGGTAACTTTATTCCTTCAAGAAACAAGTTTCAGCATGTTGTCTTCTTATATAGTGGCATCAGACGTAGTTTCAAGACAATTTTCTTTAACCATTTTGTTTCTTGTATCATTTTGTGAGACAAGCTCCAGAGACTTAAACCTAGTGTTTCAGATAAAGCATAGTCTTCAAATTAACAATTTATTTTTTCGGGTGATTGAAATGTTACAAAGAAATTACGACTGATAACTTATTCATGGCTTCACATAAACTGTTTGATATAAATGTACATGTCTTCAATGCTTCAGGAAATTTTGTTTTAGAGCTGACAGTTTCCCTAAGCTTGATATTTTCAGGTCCACCATCAGCAACTCTCTTACACATACACTGTCTTGATTTGTAAGATCTTATGGATGCTCATCCAAATCCTGATTGGTTAGGAGATGTGAACAGCTAAAAGAAATTTTTTTTAAAGATTCATCATAACTAATTTTATTTGTTAATTTGTCCATAATTATTTTGAAAAATGAAAGCGCTTGTGTCGTTTCTCCGTGTAGGTGAGATCGACAGGGCCTATAGACCAGCTGACACATCAGCCTGTGAAGGGAAGAAAGAAGGGAGGTGGGGTGAGGTTTGGAGAGATGGAGAGGGACGCCATCCTGTCATTGGGGACTGCTTTCATTCTTCAGGACAGGCTGGTCAACTGCTCGGACAAGACCATGGTAGTATTTAATTTGATTTAAATTGTGTTTTAAAGATGAGGTGCTAGTGTTATTCTTTTTATTTTATGCTTATTTATCATAAATAGTGCTTGCACTTTAAGGTTTGTCACTATAGAAATCAAAACATATGCTATGCTTCACATTATGATATCTTCTATCAAAATATTTAGGCAGTCTTTTGAAGCCATGAGAGTTATTCTCACCCATGTAATCAGTATACTATCAGATAAGACATTCACTCAAGCAGTAGCATACAAGAACAAGTAATCATTATTACAGTTTAACATTTATATTTAAATCACATTTCTGATACATTGTATCTTTCCAGGCACGAGTGTGCACGAAATGTGGCAGCCTGCTTTCAGCTCAGATGGAGAAGCCACCCTCCGCTCTGGCAGCTGCTTCCTTCGAAGCTGCCCGCCACTGGGTGTGCAAAATATGTGGTAGAAAAGACTCAGTTGTGGAAATCTCCATCCCATTTGTGTTCAAGTATTTAGTTGCGGAACTGGCAGCCATGAACATTAAGCTGACATTAGATGTTAAACCAGTATGAACTGTGATGGTATATCAAATCATATTCATGAAATAAAAATATTTGTATTTTTGGGTGCATATGCTTCGATCAGGCATATGGCCAACAATTTGAAAGATGGGTTTCTTGTTTGAAGAAGTGTCTTTTTGACCACTTATTTGAGACAACGTATGAGATATACCATCAAACCAAAATGCAATTTACATCAGAATGGATCTTTTTTGGCCAAAAGGGCATTTCTCTCCTGACTTGAAATGATTGCCCCACTGTTGTAGGGGTGGTTTAGGACAGACAAGGGCCCCGTATCTTGAAAGCTTCGCTATGTTGCGACTGTGCGCAAGAGTCTCGATTCAATAACTCGCCCATACTCGTCCCATATAAATCATTGTAGCCTCTATTTGATATAGCGATTCGCAATATGCGATGCTTGTTATGTGTGGAACTGTTCTAGCTGCCATCTGCTAGTAAAGTAATTGTTGATCCATGGTATGGAGTGTGGAGGGGATGTGTGCATGCCTGACCATTCCTAACTCACAGAGACTAGAATCCTCAAAAGAGGAAATAAAATTTATTTCAAAATATATTGTATAATTTGTTATCTTTATTGTTAAAATAAATTTTGATATGCAACTTGTGGGTTCATAGTTCAGTTTTTCTCTCTTTTATGGAAAGTAGTATTGGATTGATAAGATTATATCTCTCTGATGGGTAAGTACAACATACGTGAATAATGTTTGAGACATAAAAATCAAATAAAGTAAACTTTTCTTTTCAATTTTTTCAACTTATTTTATGTAATGGTAATTAAAAAGTGTGTCAGATCACATGACATATTGCACCGTTTTCTGATTGATAAATTGTACATAATTACAGAATGTAATAGAATGTCATGTTATTTTATGTTTCGAATAATTTAATCTTGCAGGCGAGCAAATGAAGATAAAGTGCCCATGCAGGGACTTGCGTGATAGTATAATACATACTTGATGATTTTTAAGTGATTGTGCCAGCGACGCTAGTTACGATGTGACCATGGTGTTTAAAACTAGAAAAGCACTCCGAGAGCGCAGACCTCCGCTAAGGCAGCGATTTTTGTTTATTATTGATTATTGATTGATTATTGATCTGGATCACCACCAAAAACTACCCAGCAGGCACACAACAGTTGATTCAATGTTGATTCAACATTGATTCACATCGTTGAATTTTTGTTGAATTTATTATTGAAAGTGGAAATTTGTGTCAACATTGAAAAATTACATTGAATCAACGTTGGCATTCAACGTTGAATCATGATTGATAGTTCAATGTTGTTTCAACATTAGAAATCTCAACGTTGTTTATATGTTGATTTAGCATTGCTTATATGTTGATTTAGCATTGATTAACTGTTGATTTAACATTAATTTAAAGTTGAGTCAAATAGCATTTTCAATGTCTTTATTTTGTCACTGCATAAAAGGAAAAATGCTGCTAGTAGTTAAAATATACATATAGTGTACAACATAGTGATAGTAAATTCAAACAAGCACTGGGCTTCAGGACTATGCAAGTTAAAAGTCAACCAACATTGTCAAAACACTGTATACGTATGACAACAGAACAAAATTGCAGAGGGAGCGAGTTACTTCCAAAGCTGTAAATAATTCTCGGCTGCGCTCGGAGGAGATTCTGACACCTTGACGCATGTGCAGTTAAGTTGGAGAGAAAGAAATGACTGTCGTGGTTGCTTTGATAAATGTTTGTCGATTTTTGTGCAACAAGACGTAGAAGATGAGGTTCATATACACACGACAGACACGAGTGCAATCTGATGAACTCCACAGTTTAGAGATATTACTGTAAGTATTCCAGCAATGTCCATCACAAGGCCAAAATAATAGTTCAAGTTCTTAATTAATTGTTACTTTCTTCCATCTCCATCTTTTCTTTCTGGTGCCCATTTTAGATAGTTAACGATGCTGTCGGAATAGTTAACGATGCTGTCGGAGACTTCCTTCTCCGTACAACTACATCTTGACATCATGACATCTGGGAAAAAAAGTGAAGTAGAAATGTAAGCATATATGTATCGAACGTACGCTGGCAGGTGTGCCTATCAAAGCTCATTGAGGGATTCTAAGAATGAGGTTAAGATTGGGTGTTAAATTCCAACTAGGGTGCAAAATGTAAGAACTATTTTTTTAGGCTTAGCTGCCCAAACTGGAGCTGATAGGTAGATAAGTTTATTATAAAAATCAAATCAGGCACACATTACAGCAGTAAATGTAAAGCAAACTGCAACATTAATTTAATTACCTTTGATCACCGTACAGAAGTTGCTGTGCCCAAACGGAAATTTATTTTTCTTTCCTGAAAAATTCATCCCAGCCAGTACTCTGTTGGTCATACACCTACAAATAATATTTATAAAATAACGGATATATTGAATAAAATCAGAAATGTCTGGGTTTGATCAAGAAAAGTCCAAAAAATTGGAAAAATAACTTGCACTTATTTTTAAAATTCTGATAAAAAAGGTTTATACTGCCAAACAAACCAGTATAACGTAGCTATACACATGTAGGTTCGACTTTGTAATGTAATTAATTTACTAACATGGACAGAAATGTGTCAAGTGTAAAAGTATTATAGTTATCATTCTATAAAGGTTTGATCATAACTTATACTCGAGTTCTAGGTTTCAGATAATGAAATGTATTTTTACACATTAAACACAGAAAAAAATTAAGTAAATGCATATTAATTAGTATTTGTCCTACCTTTGCATGGCCTTTTTAGTGTTAGTGCCTCCTATCGCAGCAACTGTGGCTTTCTATCAAATGGAAAAAATATATGTCATTATTATAAAAATAATAACTAGTTTTTGTAATTATATTATTGAAACTGTGTGGCAAAACTTGCAAATATACAGGCATCAAACAGCAAAACATGCTTTCATTTTTGTAATTTCAGGTACTTATCGATGTTATATATGAAATGCCCACAGTCACAAGATGGACAGAGACATACATATGTCACCCTGATCCATATTGCATGAACTAATAAAAAGGGAAAAAATCTTTACATTTGAGTGTTGAAAGTGTAAAGCTTTTAATATTTAGCTACTTGTTTGAAATAATTTAATCAAATAAAAACCATAAGTACTAGCATGAAGTTGACTGATTATGTTGCCATTTTCTGGCCAAAATTAACTGAAATGTGGTTAACTTTAACTGTTATAAGTTTGTGCACAAATAGGCACTTGTGAGGCTAATTTTCAAAAATAAAAATACATCTTCCTCTCACAGATTTGGCTTGTTGTCAGCACAACACAAAGTGGTGATTATTATAAAAGCAAGTGATGAATCGAATGATTCAATTCAGTGAAAGATTTAAGTAGTTTTCAAGTTGTAGTTCTACTGATCCCGATGTTACTCCATATCATTCTCCATTTTTATCAAGTCCACAACGTTGACATGCCAACGTTGAATTGTTGTCGTTGAATCAAAGTTGAATTAATGTTGACATGCCAACGTTGAATTGTGGTCGTTGAATCAAAGTTGATGCAATGTTTATCAACGTCTCAACCTAACTTCATCAAAGATTCAACATTGAATCAACGTTGTGTGCCTGCTGGGTAATCGATCACTTCTAAGTTTACCCATTTCCCACCTACCCTGAAAATTTTATCAAAATCGGTCCATAACTTTTTGAGTTATGTTGATGACAAACAAACAGACAGGGTGAAAACATAACCTCCTTGGCGGAGGTAAAAATGATTTGCCGTACGTACGTACATGTACTTTAAACATCTGTCCATATACGTCTAAGAAGATCAATACATGGTATGTACGTGATAGACGCATGTGACACATTATTTTAACACATGGAGAAATGTATTCATTTTTGTTTGGTTTAGGTGTGATGATCATAGTAGAATTACATTTACTTTCAAAGTACTGAAATGTGAAAAAATTCATAATGAAAAAAAAATTGTCCTCGAAAATATTATCACGACCTACGACAGGTGAAGGGGAACTGTATCGAAATGACCTTTGACCCACAACACGTGCTTGACCTACTTTACAGAACCACAACACCGGCCACCATGCTTTTATTACAGCGGTTCTGAACGGCAACAAGACGAGAAAAAATGCTTACACAAGTTCGTCGGTTGCAGGTTCTTCGTAGAAACGTGCAGGTAACACCCTCACATACAAATGGGGGCGCCAGCGAACGGAACAAGGCGACAGTCCCCCAAGAGAATCCAATCCGAATCGTACCCGGCGATCCCAAACACAGACTTGCCTCTGTGGAAGTTAACGGGCTAGGACTGGATGACTACGATAGAACAGGTAAACGTGTTTTCGTCGTCATCAATGTGTGAATTAATGCAACGAGTAAAATGTGACCGCAATGTGGTCGGTTTAGAGTTTTTACAAGCGGAGTTTGGCTTTGGGTTCCTGAGTAAAAGTGCTCCGAGCAGACTTGAAGGTGGGCTCTGTCTATAATTGTGTTAGTTGAGACGGGTTGAGATCGGGGAGCATTGCGTAGCTTATGGATACGTTATTGAAAATATAATGAAATAATATAAATAAATATAATGATGATAATGACAATAATTAAATTGTAATATTTATCAAACAAAAATAGAAAGTCAGTATGCCATTTATATGTTTATTTATTTTGATTAATTTAGTGTAGGAGAGCAGAGAGAGAATACCTGAAATATATTTTATGATTAATTGCCTAAAGAAAAGAAATTAAATTTTTAACAAATTGAAGAAAAAATAGCAATAGAAACTTACTACACCATTTTTCATTCCTTCTGATCATATTGATAATATTACCAGGGGGCACTATATATGCTTAATTCATATACTATAGTAAATGCAATTTTACATTCATTTAGATTTTGTTATCAAGTTCAGTTTTTCTTTCAGGTAATTTGAGTGTATGGAAAATTGCAAAATGGTTTGAGGGTACAAGAAAATTCTCCTTTGACGATATTCATGTACTACCAGAGTTGAACAAGACAAGCCTAGCCTACATCATAGCAACAAAATATGTGCTTACTCCTGATGTGTACATCCCATATAGACAAGCTCTGCAATGTCGTCTGCGATTTGACACATGGATGTATAAAATAGGTGGCAGCACTTATGTGATCTCAACACAGTGCTTTCGGAAGTGTCCCACAGTTAGTGGATCATGTGACAAAGATGTTGCCACTGGTCAGAACATAGATACTGATGATACCACAGACTGTCTTGTAGGCGAGTGTATAGCCACAATGGTTGCTGTTGATAAAGTTACCCATAAGGCCGTCTCCTTGCCCAACTGGTTCAGGGAAAATTTTGGAAGCCATGTTGTTCCCTCTCCCCTACCTCTAAGTCCTGTCTCCCCTCTCACACCCAGCTCCTCTGTGCAAATATTCACCTCCAATTTCCACGTCCCCCCAAGTGACATGGATCACAACTGGCACACGCATCACACAAAATACATACGCTACTGTATTGATGAAGGTACCAAAGCTGCTCACCAGGGGGCCTACAGGCAGTTCCAAGATGATCTGTGCCACAGCCAGGTGTGTTACATGGAGATGCTGTACACAGGGCAGAGCCAGGCTGGGGATGTTCTGCAGTGTAGCAGCTGGGAGGTGGAGAACGCAGACAAGACTCTTTGCTTTCAGGTCAATAAAGATTCAGTACCACTTTTTCATTGCTCTATGAAGTTCAGGTAGTTAAAGTTTTAGGGTTATTTAAGTGATTGAAATATATTTTTAAAAATTAAATTCATTGCTTTCATTCATTAAAACAATGCAATTCTGTGATCTTTTCCAAGACATCAACTTGTAATTTTAAGTTCAACAGACAGACATTTTTCAGTATTGGTAAAAGTGATCTTGACACTTTTTGTTTGTTCTTAAATTATCATCCACACACATTTATAATGATAAATTTAGTCAACAGTTATTGCAGTTAACTCTACTGACATAGACTACTTTTTGGTATTTTGTCCATTTTATTTCTCTGATGTTCAAGTAAACTGCTGTGTTCCAATATGATGAGTTGTTTGTTATGATGGATTTATTTTGTGTAGCACACAGTGCTTTATTATGAATTGTAAAAGCTCATCCATGCATAAGTCATACAGTTCACATTTACAGTATGTCATTTGCCATCGAGTTTTGTCTACAATCTACCAAATTTACATAGTTTTTCAACATTTTATCATAGTTACAAGTCAGTATTACAGTTACTTGATGCAGTGATAGAAATATTTTGAAATGCTATATTACAAATATATGTAACAGTATTTACAGGTTTTAATGCAAATATAAAAAGTAAGAAAAATGTTTCTTTTCAAAATAAAAAGACTGAACTGAAATCTCTCATTCTCTCTCACAGTATCCATTGTTATCTAAAATGATTCAAAGAAACATTAAGTCTTTTTACCCAGGCCACTTTCATGAAGTTCTCAATGTAAATGACCAAATATTTCTTTCTATTTTAGTGTAAACGGCCACATATTTCCATTTATTACACAGTTTTCATCCCCTGCACCTGTCACTCCCATCTTGTTTTCCGTTTCTTTTTCTCAGGTCTGCCCTCTTGGTTAATGTCCTGATAAGTGCCCGAGTTTACATGTTCAGGATTTCCTATCCAGGCTGAGTCTTTGTCACTGGCGCTGACAAAGTTTGATTTAAACTGAGCCTAAAATGAGAAATTTTCACAGCTATTTTATCAAAATATAAAATTTAATATTGAAAATGAGTATTATTAGCTTAAGACAAGTGGGCAATGAAATGATTTGTGAAGTACAAAAAAAAATGTAAAACAAGAAGTAAATAAAGCCTGTTTGGAAACGATGCTTCCATTCACAAAATTTTCCAGAAACTTACAGAAAAGGCTGCCCTCATGGCGGCTACTCTGTCACTCTGCGGCCCTGCTGACCGTGACGGCTCATACGCACTGAAACTGGTTGGTGCTTTGGTACTGGTACCAATGCTTCCCCCTGGTGTGGAAGTATCCGTCTGAAATGTGATATTTCCATTATCTGGATATATATTATGACAAGTTAAATTGTCAGTATCACATATCATACCCAAGTACTAAAGCATGCACATATATGATTATGATGTACACAAACACAAAATCCGAAACACACAAATTTTCAAACCTCCACTCACTTCCCCTACACACAATCATTTGTACACACACACACACACACACACACACACACATGTATATAAACCCCCACCAACCAACCAAACACACATGTAAATTTTTATACACACAACATACACAGTCATATAAACATGCATGCAAAGATGTCCGACCCACCTTCCTTAACACACACATGAACCCACACACACAGAGACACACACACACACACACACACACACACACACAAAACACACCACCTGTGTTCCTCCTGATCCCAGTCCCGGTCGCTCCCGGAATCCAAGACCTTGACCCCCGACATTTAACTTCTTTCCTTTACCCTGGCGTACACGTGATTTACGGAACCAGTTTGCCTGAAAAACAAAAACGTGCCACAAATCAAATGCTGCAGCTGATGGTAACATTCTTCTATGATAACATTGTTTCCATGCCAGGTGAAAGTAAAACTGAAGCTGGGCCTTGCAATTTTGGTATATTTGTTCCATTAATGACAAATAGTATGTCCCCTAAGGACCAGCACATCCTTAGATCCTGGAGTCCCATAGGACCAGTAGACTGAAAATTTTAGCACATAATACAGGAACACTTTGTTCCTTACAGTCTGCATCACTATTATAGATGTTCAGGGTGCTCTTCAGTGGTGGAGGCCACATACTGACCTGCATAGCGAGATCCATGAGTTTCTTGGGGACTTCTTGGCTGGCACCTTCCAGGTTCCGCACCAGATGACCCGCAAATTCTTTGTCCTTCTCAGTGACCAGTGTGTAGGCCATGCCCTTCTCACCTGGGGAAGAGTATCGGGGAGGGTGAATACTTAGCACACATACTGCAAGCATGTGCTAACATACACACACACACATGCATGCACATGCACACACCTAACACATGTATAGAATAATTATAAAGTTACAACCTTGCAGTCATCCACATAACTAACTACCCCTGTGTGTGTGTGTGTGTGTGTGTGTGTGTGTAAGAGAGAGAGAGAAGAGAGAGAGCACGCTCACAACCTTAATGTTCACATCATTCATTCAAGCAACTCCCAATATGAAAAAAAATTACCTGACTTTCTTCTTTGCATAAAACAACACTCAGCAACCAAATAGTGTCATGTACTTTAAGTGTGGAAGTTAGGTTCATATTTCCCTGTTCTTACCTGCTCTTCCTGTTCTTCCAATCCTATGAGTGTGAGTGTCAATATCCCTGGCTACGTCAAAATTCACTACTGTTTTAATGGAAGGGATGTCAAGACCTCGAGCTGGAAGGAATCAATAAATAAATATCTCCCGTACATCATACTAGTTTATATAGAGTTAACATTTTAAAACAACCTGAAATGCAGCAATTAATTTCCTGGATGTCAGGTTTTTTTTCTATATATTATTTGTCTTTTAGTTTTCATTAAAAAAGAAGAAAATAATACTGTTTTTAGCATGGAATTATTCAAAAATTCTTTTTGAAACAAGAGATCTTCCTTCAAAGTTTTCAAAGTTTTTTGATCTCCTGTCTTTACATTATGACCTCTAAACAATCACCTGCCACATCGGTTGCCACTAAAGTAGGGATTTCTTTCTTCTTAAACTGATTGATGACCTCATTTCTTTCTTGCTGGCTCATATCTCCATGCAGTAAACCCACTGAAAAATTGAAATATAGAAATATTACAAACTGTTGATTCACATTTGGTCTTTATTCAACAAGGGCAGATAGGTGGCTTTACAATGATCTCTTTTGTTAAAACAAGAAAGCATACAACCAAATATTCTGCAAATATGCTGCTCGCCATTATCAGTCAAAATATTACAGGTCTGAGTGACCGTATTACCTTTAAAAACTAAAAAGAAATAAAAACCAAATTTTACCTTTAAAATCTCTTGCTTTGAGATTTGTTGCCAGCTCCTCACTATTGGCTTTCTTTGTTACAAATATTAGGACACTTCCAACTGAAATAAATAAATTAATTAATTAAGTAATTAATTAATTAATTAATTAATTAATTAAGTAAAACAAACAAAAAAGACTGGAACATGGCATAACATAAAATGTAATACTTGTGAGAAATTAGCAAAATGTTTTAACAAATGTCTTAAAAGACAAAAATGACATTTTTTATTAATACATCGGCTCACCTTATGTACAGTTGACTTGAGATAAATACTAAAAATATTTACACCGGATAAGAAAAGGCAAAATAGTTAACCATTCTGCTAAATGTATATTATACTTTCTTTAAATCTAAATTTGATGCAAAAAAAATTATTCTCAAGTGAGCCAAGTTTACAACTTGGTTTTCTGTACATTCTCATATCTCCCACCTAGATAAATTTTATTGTAAATCCACCACATGAAGTGTAAGGTTTGTGATGTTTGTCAATAACAGAAAGTCCACTGATATTGCCTACTGAAAGTTTTTGTTATTACCTGACATGAACTCCACGAGTCGTGATGTCAACCACACCCACTTCGCACCGCCAGGGGGCAGCACCTCCACTACCTGTGTGATGTCCTCATTGGCCTCAAATTTAAATCAAGAAAATTGTGTGAATTTGGATACCAGAAAACTGTTCTAATTCCATCTTAAAATGGTTTAAAGTGATTGTCTAAAATACAGTCACTGTTTTGTATTTGACATAACCCATACTGATCTAGTTTGTATGGGTCATGTCTTAAAATAAAATACCTGACATTGAAAATAACACAAATGAAAATAAAATAAAATGTCACCGCTCACCTCTCCCAAATCTCCTTGTACCACTCGTACAGGGTCTGTCAGGATATCCCGCGCCAACCGCTCAATCCTCTTACGAAATGTCGCACTGAACAACAGAGCTGCAACAGACAATTACAAGATTAGATCTTCTTGATGTGAACTTGTTACTGTATACAATGTCCATTTTCTCCTTCCAAAAATGTTGTAAAATTGTATGGAAAACCTCAAAAGCAATATAGCAGTCAACAGCAGTCACATATTTAGTAAAAAGTGACATTTGTTAACACAGCAAATTGTTTGGGTGGAGAACACTATTCATTATATATTAACTTATTTCGAAATAAAGAAAAAAAATCTAAATCAATGTGTTACCTTTAGTAGTTTACAATTTTGTACAATTTTGCAGTTGCAACAATCATTTATGATGAAAAGCATTTACATAAAATATTCTTTTTTAACTAAGCAGTTGAAAAAGCACATACAGCATTTGGCAAAACTTGAAAATATTTCACACAGTATAGTATCATCAATGTACTCACTCTGTCTGTCTGGTCTCACGTGATTGGCTATTGATCTTACTTGAGGCTCTGCAATGTCATAATATATATCAAAATTACAGGAAAAATATCATGAAATAATTATCAAATTGTACAACTGGTAACCTGTTGCTTTTTTTTTTCTTCAATTAAATTTAACATCTTACCCTCTCTTCTAACTGCCACAATGCTTTTTTTTTTTCAGCCATGATTTTGGATAATTTGTAAGAATAAAGTAGTAAGAAATGGTTCAGTGACCCTATTTACTAAAGGGACTGAGGCCACTTAAGGCAGAAATCCACCAAGACAAGAATGTGAATTTTATTCTCAGGAAAGACTGTAACCCATTAAGGCATGTCCCTTACATTTATCTTGGCCTAATATTTCCATTAACAAAACCAGCATTGGCAATATCAGTATATGGGTATCAGAGTTAAATATCCTTAGCTAAGCACTCAAAAAAACATTTTATTTTACCTAAGAAAAGCAAGCAAGTGAAGAAAAGACCAAATATATAATCGCTGGCCTATTTATTTAGTAATACTTATTTATAAAATTGTAAAAAACATTAATATGTCACTTAGATTGGGTGCTAGACATGGCAGATATTGTTTGAAATTTATCAACATCCACTGCATACTCAAGCAGACATGGCACTCTGTAAAACTGATATCAGTTATCAAATTGATGTTAGTTGCTGGATGTTAGTTGTTGTCTTTGACAAGCCCTGAATCTTTCTTTTCTGAAACACATCTGAAGTAATTAACTCACCAAATCCCATATCAAACATCCTGTCCGCCTCGTCAAATACCAAGTACGTCACTCGTGTGAGGTTTGTGGCCTTCTTCTTCACAAGATCTATAAGACGACCCTGAATAAAACAAATTTAATTTTTATCAAAAAATTATTGATGCCTTGCAAGTTGCAAAATTAAATTGTAATTAAAACAATATTGCAATTAGTAAATAACTAGCATGGTAGGGGGGGGGGGGCACTGTAAGTGTAGGATTAGAGTAAACAATTCAGCTATTCAATATTTATCTTTCCAAGCATCAGTTTATATTTCAAACTGATAAAAAATGGAATGCAATGTATCACCTTGCAAATTTTATTTCAAATTGACAATTTAACATTAAAACATAATAAAAATTCACTCCAGCCTGCATAAAATCAAATCTGAAATTTGTTACCCAATACAGAATTATAGCAATATATTACGCAACTAAACTCAAGGTTTATTCATCAATCATATAAAGACTTATTTATGATTCACTGATATGCTGACCATATGAAATTACATTTGCAATGAACATATTTATCACAACTAAGATAATTTTCAATTCAATTTTATTTCCATTGTGTATATAAATAACCAATTTATTCACTGACTTATTTTGTAAAAATAAAATACTATAGGCCTCACCCAGGCTGGGTGCTAAACTTAGTACAATAGTGCTATAAAATAAAATAAAATTCTACTCTATAATTATCTATACAAAGTTAGATTGACTTTGTATAATTTAAGATATTTATCTTACTGACCGGTGTGCAGACGATGATCTCCGCCCCCTCCTGGCAAGCTTTGGTCTGTTCCCACATACTCCCGCCACCATAGGCACAGACCACATGGATGTTATACACCTTACCAAACCTCTTGGCTTCATGGTAGATCTGGAATTATCAGTATAATTATTTTTCATACAGATTACTTTTAATGTTGAACTTCTGAGTTGACATTTTGTTGACTAGACTAACAACTGATTGGAGCCTCTTTCAGCCATACATTTGGGTGATTTTAGTCATCTCAAAACTTTAAACAATAAATATGATAAATTTGGCTTGAAACAGGAAATACATTATTCCTAGCCAAATAAGAATTTGAGCAATGGGCTAAAACAATATCTTAGACTACGCTTAGTTTATACAAATCAACCCCATTCACAGTTGACATTCACTGATGTGTATGGCAAAACACCGGGGAAACTAAACATAAATACAAACTCCAAAAGATTGTTAATTTTTGAGCTTAAGCAGTTACTGTCCTAAGATACCTGTTGTGACAGCTCCCTGGTGGGGGCACATATAAGTCCTATGGGGCCATCCCCTGGCTTTAACTCTTTCTGGAACAAAACATACAAAAATTTGAAAATAAATTTTTTTTTTCATCATTCAGCAGCTAAATACGAAAATTGTTTACCCCCAATATTTCAATGTTGATTCTTACAACATAACACAGCTGATGATTCAGAAATTCTTTTCTGCCATACAAAATTCTGTTCAGAAATTCATCAGTTGAAATTTCAGTATGGTGGACATTGCACAAGTAATTATAATACATGTACACAACATAATATATTGTATATACACAATGTTAAAAAATCAAAACAGAAATTCTACGCCATATTCAAAATACAAACGGGAAATGGAGGAATCTGATGTTTACTCTGAGACTCAATTTCTGAAAAACAAAACTTGAAAAATTTGTCAGTGCTGATCCTCTTACCTGTGGCCTTATGTCCCACACGGGACGAAGAGCAATGATGATCCTCTTACCTGTGGCCTTATGTCCCACACGGGACAAAGAGCAATGATGATCCTCTTACCTGTGGCCTTATGTCCCACACGGGACAAAGAGCAATGATGATCCTCTTACCTGGTCCATAATATGTACAAGCAGTGGCCACAAGAATGCTGCTGTTTTGCCACTGCCAGTCTTGGCAATCCCTATGATATCTCGCCCACTGAGGGCTATGGGGACTCCCTGGGCCTGGATGGGCGTCGGCTGGGTGTAACCCATCTTCCGTATCCCCTGCATCAGTGCCTCGTCAAAGCCCATGTGAGCAAAACTGGACACAGGTTTTGGGGGGTCAAGCCCACTGACCTGGGGTGAGAAATAAGACTTAGTACGTCATTTGTTTCATTGACTTAACCACTTCTCTTTTTTTTTATTTATTAGAATTATTTGCTCAGTACTCATACAGCTCTTCAGCAGTAGTAAATTAACAATTTTCTTGTATTTCCTTCAGATATCTCTCACATTATTAAGAAATAAAGATATTTCTTTGCATACTTTGCATCCAGAAAGGACATTGAAATTACCCTGTATTTCACATTATAACCTCTACCACATCTATGACAGTACCCACCCTTGTATTAAGTTTTTTCCTCAGCTCTAGCACCTCAGGGTAGGTCAACCGAGCAATCTCCTCGTGTTCTGTGTAGAAATTTTTTACGAAGGGATCGTAGTCAATGTCTGAGTGGTCAATGGGAGGGAGAGGGTCTATGATCTGAAATGAAATTTAAACCATAATAAAACACAAATTGCACAAACTTTATATTTAATTAATAGACCCTGAGGTATTAATATATTTTATTACATACTAAATTAATTTCTTTATTCCAAATTATGATTTTTCGACTTTGTCAAAACATTAATAAAATTCTTATTCCTATATATACATATAACAGTGAGTACAGCAACCAGTGTAATCATTTTCAATTAAGATCCTCCCCAAATCCTAGTGAGGAGGGAAAGACTTAGGAGTGACAGAGAATCTTTGTTATTTAGATCACACACCTTGTGCTTTTCTGTTATAATGGCATTGCCATCTTGGTCATACTCTATGTCAATGTCATCTTCTGGATTAAGCCCTGCATTGGGGTTTTCTTCCATGTAGCGAAAATATGCTTCCTGAACATCCTCCTCCTCAATATCATCACGCACTCCTCTGAAATTTAAGCAATATGAATTATATCTGGAGTCAATCTCATACAAATCTACATATAACGTGTTCAAAAAGTTTATACAAATGACGCAATGAATTCAAGCAGAAAATGTTTTTTAAATATTACTGAAATACACTGATCATTTTCAACTTCTCATTCAATCTGTTCTAAGAGGTGAGCTCCAAGACATACTTTTTCTCTTTTTCTTTCTTAGCACTATCTGAACCTTTCTTCACTTCAGCTTCTGCACTGGGTTTTACTCCCAGCTCTTCTTGCTAGAAAATAGTTTGGAGAATGTAGAACAGGGATGAGACTACCACTTAATGAAAAAAGTCTGAAAATATGGAGTGGGGGCCAGCGTATCCTCTGTATTGATCTCAAAAATGATATTTTTGTCTCTCTGAAAAAGTTGGGCATTTGCAGATAGGGGAAAATATCTCATTACTGCATAGAAGTTGGACCTGTTGTATAAAAAAAGGGTCATCTATAATATTTTGGTATTCTTTTTATGTTGGCAAGATTTTACACTTAAAAGAAGTTTGTCAAATTCAGCAAATTAAATGTCATTATTCTATTAAATAAATAAATAAACCAAGATTTATTAAATAAACACACAGTAACACTGGAAAATCATGAAAATCATGTTCAATATAAAACTGTTCACAGTTTCTTAGAAAACTTTCCACCCTTATTAATTTCTACCTCCAGATTTGCCATGAAGGCATCCAGAGGATCATCGCTTTCATCGCTACCATATCCGCCCTCTTTACTGTCCCCCTTCCCATCATGCCCAGGACTTCCTGGCGCTGGCTGGTACTCCAAGTCCGCCTCATTAACTGCCTCATCATCATCATCAAAGTAACTGAAATAAAATATATCACACAATGGGTTCATATCTATCTCAACATCTCTGGTCCACTCTCATTTTTACTGAAATATAACTAAATAAAGGATTTCATGTGTATGTGCTACCTATTTCTGTATCACACTTGTTAGGAAAAATGTAAGAATATTAGTGCTTAAGACAAATACACACTAACTTATCACACCAATGTTGTCTTTTTCCTTTGTAAAAGAATACAATAACCTCATAATTCAGCTACTGTTTTTAATTATTTTAATCAGTTAACTGTAATAATTCAGTTACTGGTTTTAATTTTTTGGTCTGTCAAATGTAATAATTCAGTAACTGTTTTTAATTTTTTTTTTTTTTTTTTTTTTTTGTCCTTCAAAACCTCATCATAAAAGCTCTTACTCCTCCTCGCTTTTTATTCTCCTTCTCCCTATTTTTGTTCCATGGCCGAATGCTCTGGATGCTGCTCCACCAAAGTTGAGAGAAAACCCTGGATTTTCCAGTGCTTTCTTATTCCCCACAGAGAATCCACTGAATCCAAAACCCCTTGGCTTCCCATCATTGCCTCGGTTAAAGCTCATCCTGGAATAAATAACATTTTGAAACTTAATCGTCGTGATCGTGTCGAGCAAGATGGATCCTTTCAGGGAACTCTGTCCCAAATTAGATAGGTTATAAAATCATTAATCTCTTAAAGTGACCAGTTTAGTAAGCTGAGAGATGTGAAAACTCTGAAAATGGGCCTCAAAGTTGGTCAGACTGCGGCTTTCTTTCGATAAATGTAACCATTCCATGGGCGCCATAACAGATCTAAAAAAAGGTTCCTTTTATCGAACTCATGTATTGTAAGCCTTACCTGACAAAGACAAGCTTAGAGATAAGTCAAGGTTTCTTTAGACCACCCAATTCGCTCTAATAACAGTTACTCGATGAAAGCGCTTACCTGGAGTTTCACGAAATAGGTCTTCCCGACGAAAAGAGCTAAACGCACAAGTGAAGGTGGCGCAAGAAGAACAAGACAATACACACCCGTTGCCTTGCAACTGGCTATTTCTTAAAGGTACATACTAACCGAGCATCAGTGGAGTGTGGATTCCCTGTAACACATGTAAACCACTTCTACTAGTTTCTTATACGATTCAAATAAATATTCGACATGCCAAGGGATAAACTGAATAGATCACTCGATCAGCCATAAAATAGCTTTAGACTACTCCTTTCTTTAATTTTTGGTCGGAAATTTAACCTACTTTCGTGACATACTTTTCTGCCCCATTGACATACAGCAAAGAATGCTAGCAGAAAAATCCGTTCAAACATCATTTTCGGGTAAAATTAAACAATGCCTCTTGGTAATTCTCTTAGACCCCATTTCCATAGATTTTAGATCGATCTATCCCTGTGAGGAGTTTCACTAGATTACTGTCAGCTTAGCCGGCTTAAACGTCTGCCCCGCCTACTAAAAGCTGTAAATTGGTAATTAACTATGGTGCGCGATCGGCTGACTGTAATTTAGCGTGAACCCCCAGGGAGTTAGGTCGATCTAAATCTTAATCTCTGGATCGATCTAAATCTCTGGGAATACACCCTTAATATACTACTTGAAACTATATGCTGGCATTTGGTTGTTTTTTGTGACAAAAAATTGACTTTGCATGCATCTTTAAGACTTCTTCACACACCTATGAGAGACATAAAATAACGGGAATTAATTAAGTAGGCGGGACGGACATTTAAGTCGGATTATCTGAAGTAATCTAGTGAGACTCCCCGCGGGGATAGATCGATCTAAAATCTATGGGAATAGAGCCTAAGACTCTGAAGGAGACAAGATCTAGGCACTTTTAGACTGGAATGCACAATGCATATTGTTCATAAAAAAATTTGGGCCAAGTTTGTTTTCAAAAGAAAGAATGGGGGGTTGCACACAGAAAACGTATTTCATCAGCAGAGTCCCTGAGAAAGAGCAACTTTTCTTTTAAAAAAAGGTAGAATCGTCAATAGGAGTGCTAACGCATGAATTTTCGTGCTATTAGCCGGGTTGCTTAGCGGGACATGCACCATACCTGCCACACCGGCTAATAGCACGAAAATTCATGCGTTAGCACTCCTATTGACGATTCTGATATGTAGGCCTACTGTACATAGGAGTGCTAACGCACGAATTTTCGTGCTACCCGGCTAGGAACCGTATGTAGTCCTTTCCCAATCACTTTTTACACTGTACGCAGGGGCTTATCCAGGATTATTTGAAGGGGGATCTGCGAAAGCGAAGTTGCCCCCCCCCCCTTGGCGTTTTGGGATTTTTTAGGGCTAACGATGCCATTTTGTAAGGTTTAGTCTTTAGAAATATGATTCAGCTAGTCAAAATTTAATTACAAGAGTTATGGGACCATTGGTGTGATTTTTATTTTCAGAAATCGAAGTGGGGATTAGGCAGGAGACGTAAGAGACGGAGAGACCACTGCAGGCGGTCTTTCTTTCAAGTAGGGTCAAGTAGGGTCAAGACTTTTCTTCTTCAGTATTATGTTCACATTGACGTCGTTATAGGCCTATATGGGATGTTACGAACTCGCACTGCATAATGTGACATGGAATCATTAATTTTTGAATTTCAATTATATTGACGTTGATGTATAGGATGTAAACCCGCATTGCATATGGTGATGTGAAATTATTAAAGGTCCAGTGTAACGTGACAGAGAGGCGGTCTTTCTTTCAAATAGGGTCCGCAATATTTGATCCTTCGATCAGCTGATACTCGGATCTTCCATTACTAATGGGGCCTTAAATCTATTCTAAATGTGACCCCAAGGGAATTCACCAACCCCGCCCACTCTTGATAAGAAAAATACTCCTTGGGTGTTAGTGTAGAGTCTAATGTTATTACAAAATGCATTCGAAAATGTAGGAAGCTCAATTTTTAGGTAATGCATATGAGAAACCCCATGCTGTTGGGAAAAATTAACAGTTCAAATTTCTTGAAAGCAAGGCAAAGGCACTCATCTATAGGAGACAATTTATAGCCTTAAACTGGAATTTTGTTTTAAAAAATTCATAGAATGAGTTCAATCATAATAGTTCTTGGTTATGGTTGGCCTCTTCAGTGATAATAAATATTAAAACGTCATAAGAAATCTGTGGTTTTGGGCCATTTTATTAGCTTAATTGATATATTTGGAAGGAATTAGAGGCTAAAGCATGGCAAAATCGTCTGGTTAACCTAGCTTGTTCTCATATCGGAGCACGTGCCCAACGTTTTGAATGTAGGGATGAATATAGAAAAGCAAGTCGCAATTTGTAGAAATGCCTTTGTACCGGGTCCCGTAAAAGTGATCTCTCTCTCTCTCTCTCTCTCTCTCTCTCTCTCTCTCTCTCTCTCTCTCTCTATATATATATATATATATATATATATATATATATAGATAGATAGATAGATAGATAGATAGATAGATAGATAGATAGATAGATAGATAGATAGATAGATAGCAACAAGCGTGAGCTTTTTTCGTATTATGTTCACATTGACGTCGATATATATGAGATTTTATGAACTCGCTTTGCATAATCTGACATGGAATCATTAATTTTTGAATTTCAATCACATTGACGTTGATGTATAGGATGTAAACCCGCATTGCATATGGTGATATGGAATTATATGGTCCAGTGTAACGTGACAGAGAGCCCCCCCATTGCAAGATAGAGTCCGCCTCCCATTCATTTCTACAGGTAAGCCTCGCCCAAGATTTTGAAACTCGTACATGTACGTTAGGCTAACCCTAACCGGTACCATTAGTACTTGAGGGAGGACGGACTTTCTGTTACACGGACCCTTAGTTTGGTCACACCGGCGTACCAAGAAGCCTTCAACTTACATTATTGTATGAATTATTTTCCTGTTGCAGTTTACATCAAGTGGTCATGCGACGCTTAACGAGACTTATCAGTAGGTTAGTTACATGTATAGGCGTGGCGCTCGTGCTGGTGTACCTTTGGAACAGGAATTCGAAGATCTTAGGTAAGTACCAGGCGGCATATTATAAGCCCCACCTTTTATAATTATATGTTACATCATTGTAGCTAAGTTTATTTATTTTCATCTATCAGTTCCCAACCTACGTTCAATAGGGTGACTCCCGTTTTCGCCCACACACTCATATAATTATAAAACCTAGCAAATTACAGGGGCGGATTGAGGCGGTCTTCTGGATTGATGAGTACCTAATTTTTTCTGTCGGAAGACGGTCAAAAAATGGAGGATGGATCAACAAAGATAATGTGGAAGACTGTCAGAAATATCTCTGGATCCGCCCCTGAATTATTTTATTCCAAAAGTCTTGGTTATACCGTAAGTTGTAGGCCCCGCTTTGGTAAATAGTCATACATTAACGCCAAACCCTTCGCTTGCTTCAGCCGTCCGCAGGGTAGCAAAGGCACACATGCAGCAATAGCAGAGTCAGACTCTTCCGTGGCCAGTGTTAAGTCCCGACATGTCTCCCACTGAGCATGTCTGGGATTATCTGGGCAGACGAGTTTACCAGTTCCCTCTACCAGGACCGTGCGCATAACATATTATGTGGACTTTTTTCTCTGGCTCAGTACTGAGAATAACCGACCAGAAACATATATGTGAATATCTAGTGAAAAAATCAATCCGTGGCCCTGGTAGAGGGAAGCCTTCTACCGTCATAGAGTTAAGAGCTCCACGGGTGAAAGAACGGAGAAGGATGCCTCAGTTCCGTCATGGACAAAATGTCCAAGGTTCCGTATTCGATGTCTCGCAGTGGCGGATTTATAGGGGGGCCAGGGGGGTCCTGACCCCCCCCTCTCTTCGATTTCTGGCCCCCTCTTAAAATTAGTATTTTGACTAGCTGAATCATAGTTCTAAACCGTACCAGATGGCACCGTTCGCCCTCTAAAATACCAAACTTTTCGGGGGCCCTTCAGCAGGTCCCGAACCCCACGCCAAGTTGTGGTGGGGGGGGGGGGGGGGGAGGGTCGGCTTCGCATCCACGGACCCCCTTCAAATAATTCTGGATCCGCCCCTGTCTCGTACAGTAGGCCTACTAGTCTATGGAGGAGCTAGGGCACAAGACTGTATTGCACCCAGGAGAATGCACACATGTTAGTGACGTTGCTGAGAAGTGTTACCCCTACTGAACCAATACTTTGGGGGAGATATATGACTGTGGAATGATACGTTCCTGGTTTCATTTCATTAACATCAAATTTCACAAAAAGACCAATTATACAATTCCATGGTACAGCGGCTTTATACTCATTAGTCAGTTTATAAGTAGACCAGGCATTATAATTTTGATTACTTTGATTCAGGGGGTGACACTTCTATTGTCCAGTGTGTGTACTACCCTTTTGGCAACACCGTTGTATGAAAAAGTATGTTGAAAACAAACAAATAGCAAAACTTTCTTTTTTGCTAGTATATTTACAGATCACACTCACAAAATTCCACATTTTACTGTCATTGTCCAGATAAACCCCACAGATTTTATTTTTCAGATTTAAACAGATTACATGTACCTAAAACGGAGAGTGCTGATGGAAGAGCCAGATGCGTGCACATTTCTAATATCATAAAACCGGTAAGATAGCCTATTAGGGATAGATGCGGCAATAGAAAGGATGCGGGATAGAAGCATGGCAATAGTCCCGAACTTATAAGTACATTCTGAAAAGTTTTGTGCTTAATAGGCTAAAATAAATTGGCTTTGCCCGAGACGGCCGAGTCCTGTTTCACAATACGGCTGAAGTACATGTAGGTTTCTGGGCTAATATCAAAGCGTAAATAAAAAAAAAGCAACGTAAATTACCTTTTACAAAGATTCCAAAACTGCTTACTTTGTCTCTGCAGTCTTTTATTTTAGTGAATGTATTGTCTCAAGCTTCAGAAAGTTTTTACTTAAAGTGGTGACAACAGTCTTAGTTAAGTAAGCTTAATACATTTATTGTGGGCCAATCATTATTAAAAACTCATAGACCAATTTAGCAATGTCGACTTGGCATAGAAGGCTAGCTCCTGAGTGCATTTTTGTCTCTCATCTGATATCACGTAATATCTGAAATGTTGGCTCTGGTTCCGAAATTTCCCATTTGCATTTTTTGTATTTTAGCTGGAAGTAGAAACCCTGTGCTCTTATATACTGTAGAGCATCCACTGCTTATCTAATGAAGCTCGGCCACGGCCTCGTATAGTCTCCCTCGATGAGTTTATTAAAGGATTTTTCAAAAGCTCATTGTTTAAAAAAACTTGATGTGTAAATCAAAGTAAATTTAAATCATTAAAAATCTTTCCTAATGAAATCCTTATTGTATTAATCCCTATTAAATAACAAATGTGGTTATAAATTGTGTTTTGTTCATTGAAAATGTGAAGAAATTGAGATAATTCTTGAATAAAGTTCTAAAGTAACATCGCTGTTGGGGATTCTAACATATTTACCTTTCTATTCGTTATTGGTATGTCATCCAGGCGCCTTGTTCATGAGTTTGTGCTGCATGGATTCTGCTGCTAACTAACTGAAAAATACCGATACTTATCGCTTCGGGATTATAATAATTATACGAATATTTAACATGGAGGACTTGCGTTACTTTGTATATGCGAAAGGCAATTATATCCGACAGGAATATATGTCCTAGTTGCGTATTGTTATACAGTATATAGCTTACACTTTCAATGATTACAAGTAATAATTAAAGAGAAATCAAATTAGTAAAAGGATAGTGAGTTGTTGACTATAAGGTAAATTTCTTTAAAAGTCAACAAGTGTAGGAAAAGATGGAACATGTTCAAGTCACATATAGTTTGCTTTGATTGGTTAATTTCTCAATAGATTTGCAAGTTTCTGCCACGTGTTAAACACATGCAAACTAAGGATGGATATGGTGCACCATGAGTTAGATAAATAATATTTTAGGTATTATTAATTTTCATCCGCGGACCCCCCCCCCCTTCAAATAATCCTGGATCCGCCCCTGTACTCTGTTCTTCTGTAAATTGCACAGGCTTAGGGCAAATAAACGGTTATGAAATAAATGGAATATATCACTCTAATAGCTCCCAATGAAGGGTTACATGAAGGAAAACGTAATTGTACGTGTAAGTAACAACAGATTTCATCTTATTTAAAGTTTAAAATCATTGTGTGTTATCTTAAATGCTGGTGTAATTGTTAAATAATTAACTGGAGAGTCATATTGCTATATACATGTATCTAGTTTTTTTACCTGCTCGTGAAGGTTTTACAGTTTTTTAAAAATCCTTCATGATATCAATTTCTAATAAAATATAATGTAGGCATCTTATATTATTGAATATATTTCTATTTTTAGATGAACTTAAATGAGATAACAACTCTTTGTATGAGATCTATATTTCACAATAAATACATGGTAACAACTCATAGAAATATAATACGGTATAGTTTACCACAAAAACGACAGTTATAGCAATTATTCTGAAATCTTTGCTTGTCATCGGACCACGTGACCTCCATAGGTGGCCATATAAAATAAGAAAAAAAAACTTATTCGAAAACAAAAACCGGGACTATTTGAAGCGAGCAATAAACTGAAAAACACGTTGAACAAACGACTCCCCCATGTCACATAGAGCACCATTTACACAGGTGTTGCAATACTTATAACACCCCTCTGTATATGTGCCGGGTATAAGACACAATAGCAGTGATGTCAGTGAGTAAAAAGTTCATAGGTGAGTTCCGGTCCCACAAAAATGCTCCTATGGTTATTACCTGCTGCCATATTGCACTGAGAGTCGATTTGGAGAGTAAAAGCTCCTCAATTGTTATTTCCACACGATGCCAACCTTTGATTAAAATGACCATAAGTGCAACCTGAGCTTCAGAGATAAATTGATACAAACCTCTGCACCAAAGAAGTATATCCTTGCCGTTTCCAGTTGCCTCTGACCAGGGCTCCGTAACTCGAAAGCATCGCGTAATGCGAATAGCGATATCACATAGAGGCTGCAAAGTATTATATTGGGCGAGTATGGGCGAGTTATGGAATCGAGACGCTTGCGCTCGGTCGCAATGCTTTCGAGTTACGGGGCCCAGGTTCGTTGGGCCTGGCTGCCGGCCCCTCAAGCTTTACACCCGCCCCAATGACTCATTGAAGGATATCTTTGAGAGCATTCACATCGAGAAGAGCCGAGGTCTAGCAAGGCATGACATTCATTGAGATTCATTGAGAGACCATTAAAGGATTACGTGGTCATCCTTTCATGTAGGTCCGCCATATTTATTATTTAGGTCTCGGCCTTGCTAGACCTAGGCTCTTCTCGATGTGAATGCTCTCTTTACGTATCAACACACGCTCTAACGCAATAAACGCGAACGAGTCCAAGCGCGGTTTTTAATTCAAGACTAGTTTGTCGGGGTCATTATTGCCGCATCTCAAGCTAGTAGCTTTCGAACAAAATTGCTAAAACACGAGGCTAAAAATAAGTTTTTTATCAGATCATAGTGAAAAACAAGTAGCCGACAATACACAGCAAATATTCAATTTTGCAACCTCATCTTACAACAACAGGCGCAATCGATCTCAAAATATCGGGCATTTTAAAGTCCTTCATGAACAAACATATCAAATTCTCACCTAGCTTCCAAAATGAAACAATAAAATATAGTTGCACTTGATTTCTATAAGTTCAATCGTTGTGTCTAAATGACATAAAAAGTGAGCGATAACCGCTATCGTGCTTTCTCTGTACGAGAGGGCGCCCGGTCCGAATGCCTGGGCGTCCTCTCATGTCCTGTCATGACCCATTACTTTTGCTTTATTTGTCAAAGATGTGCATATTTCACAATAAATACATTGTAAATAATCCATAGAAATACAATAAATTCTACTTTACACCCAAAACGGCGGTTTACACAATTATTTTGGAATTTGTGCTTGCCATCACATCACGTGACCTCCATAGATGTCTACACTCTGTAATAATCTCTTAAGAGATTATTACAAAAAAACAAACTTTTTAGAAAAAACAGGTACTAATTTTGAATGTGGGAATGGATTCATCAACAATTGGTAGGTATGGAAAAATTGTCCTTTACCCCAGAAAAATTCTTTTGGCCAAAATGAACAGTTGTTATCCCTTTAAGTATGTATTAAGATTTTGGTTTGTCCGTTTACTTCCATTTCCTCATAAAGTATGATAAATGTGATAATATATTACTGGCTGCATGAGGCACGCCTGAATTGGCTACACAACCAACGTGTTGATAACAAAATATCATTTAAAAAATGATACGACAGTATATAATAGTAAGACTTTCTTTTAGAATTTCTCTTCTCTTTTAGAAATATCATTGGGATAAAGTTCCTGGAGAATGGCAGGAAACTATGAAACGGAGAAGGCAAATGTTGTTTCAGATGTGCAAAGATCAGAATGAAACCATACCACCAGAGGCACCAACTAAAGTGAAACAGCCCATTCCAAACAGAATCTTTGTCGAAGACATACATGAAATAATCCTGTGTCCCATGGCAAAAGCAGCAAGTAAAACCTGGTTGAAGATATATTTCAAACTAAACAAGCAGATGAACACTTCTGCCTTACATAATGACTGGATTCCAAAGCATGCGATACGTGTGCATAAACTTAACAAGTACACCGACTTTGGTATCACCACACGCCTTAACACCTATCTTAAAATAATGACAGTCCGTCATCCTCTGATCCGTCTCGTGTCGGTGTATCACGAACAAGTGGCGCCTCCTGGATCTCAGTATGAGGGGGATGTGAAGCGCTTTATCGCGAAGACAGAAGGGAGAAAAATTCAGTCTGTTTCATTTGAAGACTTCCTGCGTTACGCCATCCAAACTCCAAATATGCACTGGGATCCATTCAAAAAATTTTGTGATCCGTGTTATATAGATTATGATCTGTTGGTATATTTCGAAACTATGGAAGACGACGCCAAAAACACGCTGATTCTTTTGGGTGCAGACGACATGATCAAACTTCCTCCTTCACATCGTGCAGATAAAATGTCGGCTGACGATGAAGCTCGAAAACATTATGATGGTGTAGACAGAGAGCTACTGAAACGAGTTATCGCGATGTACAGGATTGAAGAGAAGTACTTTGGATACAACATGAGTTTATTTTCATGAATTAAACATACATGCACACTTAATTAATGTTCAACTTTGATTCAAAAGTGATCGAAATATTGTAAAGTACGTGGTTCGAAAGATTTGAGGGAAAAAACATCAGTGCCGGTTGTTGTTTAACGGATATTTTCTATATACATGTATATGTTACTCAGCAGTCTCATTTGAATAAGTATGTAATTGCTCGCGCATCTACATCCATATATAAGAGAGAGATTGAGAGTGATGATTATACAATGCGTGAGGAGTACTTAGACCCCCATTCCCACAGATTTTAGATCGATCTATCCCTGTGGGGAGTCTCACTAGTTTACTGTCAGCTTAGCCGGCTTAAGCGTCTGTCCCGGCTACTAAAAGCTGTAAGGGGGTAATTAACTGTCGTGCGCGCTCGGCTGACTGAAATTTAGCTTGAACCCCTAGGAAGTTAGGTCGATCCGGATGGATCGATCTAAATCTCTGGGAATGCACTCTTAGTCATTTACTTTAACCATCTGGGGGATGGATCCTGATAAATAGGCCAATTTTCCGACTAGAAATTTGACAAAGGTGCAGTTTANGAGTAGCTGAATCATAGTTCTAAACCGTACCAGATGGCACCGTTCGCCCTCTAAAATACCAAACTTTTCGGGGCCCTTCAGCAGGTCCCGAACCCCACGCCAAGTTGTGGGGGGGGGGGGGGGGGGGAAGGGTCGGCTTCGCAGCCGCGGACCCCCCTTCAAATAATTCTGGATCCGCCCCTGTATTGTACAGTAGGGCCTACTAGTCTATGGAGGAGCTAGGGCACTAGACTGTATTGCACCCAGGAGAAGGTACATATGTTGGTGACGTTGCTGAGCAATATACACACACTGGACAATAGAAGTGTTACCCCTACTGAACCAATACTTTGGGGGAGATATATGACTGTGGAATGATACGTTCCTGGTTTCATTTCATTAACATCAAATTTCACAAAAAGACCAATTATACAATTCCATGGTACAGCGGCTTTATACTCATTAGTCAGTTTATAAGTAGACCAGGCATTATAATTTTGATTACTCTGATTCAGGGGGTGACACTTCTATTGTCCAGTGTGTGTACTACCCTTTTGGCAACACTGTTGTATGAAAAAGTATGTTGAAAACAAACAAATAGCAAAACTTTCTTTTTTTGCTAGTATATTTACAGATCACACTCACAAAATTCCACATTTTACTGTCATTGTCCAGATAAACCCCACAGATTTTATTTTTCAGATTTAAACAGATTACATGTACCTAAAACGGAGAGTGCTGATGGAAGAGCCAGATGCGTGCACATTTCTAATATCATAAAACCGGTAAGATAGCCTATTAGGGATAGATGCGGCAATAGAAAGGATGCGGGATAGAAGCATGGCAATAGTCCCGAACTGATAAGTACATTCTGAAAAGTTTTGTGCTTAATAGGCTAAAATAAATTGGCTTTGCCCGAGTCCTGTTTCACAATACGGCTGAAGTACAGGGTTGCTACTTAATATGGAATATATTTTATCATTGTTATTTTTGAGTGCTGATTAAAATTTTTTTGGCTTGAGACATTAAAAAAGTATGTCACTGAGTGATAATAACATCCAGTCTTCTGTTGTGAGATATCTTGGTCAATAATATCAAATCTGACATAAGATGCCATTCAAAAGAAAGGAACACCCCCAGAAAACCATATCAACAGTTTGATATCAGTATAAACTTTAAGATAAGATATTAAAGAAAATGATAGCCTCCGGACAGTGATATGTTACACCGTCAAAGAACTGACTACAGTAAATCATGAAAAGTCATTAATTGCGGGTATGACCTCCAGCAGCCGCTTGCAGCGCCCTCATCCTACATGGCATACCCTGTGACACGTTTTTTAGAGTTTAGGTGGGGATATCATTCCACGCAGTGATATTTGCCTATCGCAGTTCATCACTATTTACCGGCCGAGGACCATAGCTATTAATTCTGTGAGTTACTTCCGCCCACAGATTTTCAGTTGGGTTCATATCTGGAGAGTTTGCAGGCCAGGGCAGTTGCTGAACCCATTGGTTTTGAAGAAAAACAGTGATTCTGCGGCCTCGATGTGGGGTTGCGCAGTCGTCTTGGTAAACAAAATTGTTCCTGAAGATGACTCTTACCAATCGAAGCATTGTTTGCTGTAGAATGTCTCTGTAGGAATCCTGGATGAATTTGCCTCCTAGAAAAACCAACTGGTTCTGGGCACCGACATGAAATGCTCCCCAAACAGAGACGTTACCATCCCCTGCTTGCATCCTAGGCAGTAAACAATCATTGTTTTATGCCCCTCGTACACGTCGGTGGACACGGATTCGACGATCAACCCTAAAAAATCCATTTCTGGCCTCATCACTGAAAACGACGTGATTCCAGTGTTTTGGCTGCAAACGCACGTGGTCCCCAGCCCATTGCAGACGTCGCTGTATATGACCTGCTGTTAACAGTAGTTTCCCTACTGGCCTTCGTGCAAAATAACCGGCTTGCAGAAATATCTTGTTCACGTGGGACCTTGAAACGGGAGTTTGAATGACATTCTGCCTCTCTTTTCTGAGGACACTGGTTGTCTTTGTACGACCAGCACGGCGTCCTTTAAGGAGAAGGCGATCCTGTCTTCTTGGTGTGATACGCGGACACCCTGGTNTTCCTGAAGATGAATCTTACCAATCGAAGCATTGTTTGCTGTAGAACGTCTCTGCAGGAATCCTGGATGAGGTTGCCTCCTAGAAAAACCAACTGGTTCTGGGCACCGACATGAAATGCTCCCCAAACAGGGACGTTACCATCCCCTGGTTGCACCCTAGGCAGTACACAATCATTGTTTTATGCCCCTCGTACACGTCGGTGGACACGGATTCGATGATCAACCCTAAAAAATCCATATCTGGCCTTATCACTGAAAACAACATGATTCCAGTGTTTTGGCTGCAAACGCACGTGGTCCCCAGCCCTTTGCAGACGTCGCTGTATATGTCCTGTTAACAGTGGTCTCCCTACTGGCCTTCGTGCAAAATAACCGGCTTGCAGAAATCTCTTGTTCACGTGGGACCTTGAAACGGGCGTTTGAATGACATTCTGCCTCTCTTTTCTGAGGACATTGGTTGTCTTTGTACGACCAGCACGGCGTCCACTAAGGAGAAGGCGATCCTGTCTTCTTGGTGTGATACGCGGACACCCTGGTCGAGGTATTGGAGTAGGTGCCCCTGTAGCAGCATTTCTTTAGAGGACTTCACAAACGGTTCCTGATAAATGTTGAATTACCTGGCAATGGCTGTCCGTTTCTGGCCATTTTCTCTGAGAGCAAGAATCCTATAGTAAGCTGCGTTGCCTTGTTGTCGTACCATATCTTCACTAAGGTACCTGTCAAGTTTCAGAGCGATCCCTTTGTTGCTTCTCTAAACACGCTCCAAAGATTGACAAAACCCATGCGTTTTTATACAAGGGCAGAAATTGCCGAAAATACCACCCCTCACATTTCTGACCACAGAACATGCAACTGCATGCATCAATTGTTTCGAGAGTTGTGTGGTAATTAGGTAACACATCTGGCTACACATGGAGTGACACCTCAGCTTTGGATTTAAAGTAGTTAGAGAGAAATTAAAAATTTTGTAGAAAATGTATTCGCCAAAAAATAATATTCCATATTAAGTGGTAACCCTGTAGGTGCTCCCGCCGTGACGTATTTGCTGGGAAAAACGCACGTACTGTGACACGCAATTGCATTAACGATAACTGAAATAGAGCAAAAAAATTAATCTGTTGCTGGATCTTACTTGAAACGAGTAACACTACGTTTCCACCTCCTCACAAAGTCTTCCTCAGTTGAACTAAGTCCGGTGACTGGTGCCACGTGGTGACAGTCTCTTTCTCTACTTAAGTTAAAACACAACTGGTAAATCACACCATTCACTTTTATAATTGTGTTAATGATAAAAAAATAAATGCATCAATCCTGCTCCAGGTTCCCCGCGGTAAGATCATCGTCCTGGAGATCCTCACTCTGGACATCACGTGGGACCAGGAGAAGTGGCTGTGTCAAGACTACGTGGAGGTCAGGTACAGGGCTCACCTCTCCGAGACCGGGGGAAGGTACGTGGACTCTTGTTTTTACTCAATACTACAATGTCCATTCTAAGATTGTATTGGGTAAAATCCCCAGTTTTACTGTATTCTACTTAACGCCAAGAGGAGTTATAACAGGGGCGGATTTAGGCCGTCTTCTGGGTCTTCCAGAAGACGGTCAGATTTTCAAGTTTACATTGACGGGTATCCAATTTTTAATGTTGGAAGACGGTCAAAATTGGAGGATGAATCAACAAAGATAATTTGGAAGACTGTCAGTATATAGCTCTGGATCCGCCCCTGTATAATAATCTCTTAATCTGTTTGCATTCATCTTAAATCCCCGCAGAGTTGGACTGGTCTGCTTGGAACAATGGTGTCATTGGGAATGGGCCTATCCTTGCTGGATACTTATTCTGAATGCGACCGGTGTAACGAAACTGAGGGTCCGTGAAACAGAAAGTCCGCCCTCCATTTAGTTATAATGGTTAGGGTTAGCCTGACCTAGGTAGGTCAAAATCTAGGGTGAGCTTACCTGTACAAGTGAATGGGAGGCGGACTCTCTGTCATGGGGGACTCTCTGTCACGTTACACATGTGTCTAAAAAACCATCATCATCATCAACATTAACATCAAGTATGACGTAACTTGTATAAAACTAAATGAATGTCTATTATGAAATGATATATGTTACAATACCACGTACCATACAGGACTTTTCTCTGTGTAGGTTCTGCGGGACGACCCTGCCCAGTACTCCTGTATACTCATACACCAATGAAATGTTGATATTATTCCGCACATTCAAAGGCGGTGGATACGGGTTTACAGCAAGATACCGAACTGGTGAGTACAAATGAGCTTTGCCGGTGATAGAGTAAATGAAAGAGAAAAGCGTCGCGCTGGTTGGGTTAAAAGGAGATAAATTATTTAAATATGTATCACAGTTTAAGGTGATTGCGATAGTTTTGCCCCGTCAAAGATAACTGGTGAATAGCAATCCGAGGATCTCAACTAACACATTTAATAGAATGTGTTGATAGGGATAAAAATAGATGTACACCAGGTATAAGTACTTATTTGGAGATATTATCTTATAATTAGTCTTAAACATGTTGTTTTTCAGAGTCATGTGGGGGTTGCGCAGATCCAATACGAGAAGAGCAGCACGCATGTTATAGGAAAGAAACAGAACAGTGCCAAGAATCGTGGGAGGAGGAGGAATATTTGAAATGCTCTTCGTTCTTCGGCAATGTGGGAGAGCCGTGTGGTCTACGGTAAATAAAAATAATAATAATAATAATAATAATAATAATAATAATAATAATAATAATAATAGACATGATGATAATGATGTTTGTTCAGTCTAATAAATATGTCCGATTGGATAAAACCCAAAATGGTCTGAGCGTGTTATAAAAAATATTCCATTTAAAAGATTTAAAAGATTATAGCAATTTATATGTAATTGTAAAAGGGACGTTCAATGTGCTTGTCTCATTACAAAAAGTAATTTTGTAGAGTTCAAACATGGATTGAGGTAATATTGTGAACGGTCATTGTATTCGCTACACCTTGATAATTAAAAGAAAAAATGTGAAATGTCCCGGAAAATTGAAGTTTGCCATTTAAAAGTCTAAACCTCAGCGTCTTCCTTCAAGCACAGAAACGTCCAAGTACATGTGTTACGGTAAATACCAAAAGCTGGCCGATGATAAAGAATGTTTGACAATTACGTTCTGTTAGTTACAAAGTTGGTTTTGTATTTTCAAGGCATGTGCGAAAGCAACGAAACATGACGTGTCACGTGGACAGACCATACTGTTGCCAGGGATTTGCTCTTGAGAATAAAAAGTGTGTTGGTGAGTAAAGATTTGCATTTTGACATTAGTTTAACAAATGCTAACAAATATTAAAGAAGCGGAATTGTAAATGAATAAATGAATAATGAATTATTTGGCTATACACGTAATATACGAGAAAATGATTAAGCATAACATGGCTGGGTTTGAGCCGAGAACAACTCAATTTGAAGTTGTAATTGAATGCGCAACTATTTGGTACCTCAGTTAATTTCAACGTGTAGCTCTGTAAATCTTTCTATCAATCTAGCTAGCTAGCTGTCAATCAAGGTAGCTGGCTAGCAGTCTGTCTATCTATCCTTTCATCCCTACGTCTATCTTTTACAGCTGTAAGACCTGCTCGCGCTATACAAGACAGCCCAAGCGAGAATTACGGCGCCGTTACCATGCCAACAATGTCTTTACGACAGTCGACACCGAAACTTGGCGGGAGTTTTGAGTCTTCGGACGAAAGAACCACGTGGCCGTGGAGTGGGTGGTCGGAGTGGGTCTGCTCTAAGCCGTCTTGTGGCTGCGGGACGGCTACGCGCACGCGCACTTGTCTACAGCCGGGTCACAGGAGTTGTGGGTAAGTAGCAAACTGGTTAATACATTTACAGCAGAATGTTATGCATCACTGAGTTTAATGGTAGCATTTGAGTGCAATACTTAAAAAAAAATGCTGCCTAAAACGGTCTGTATAACGGCTTTGGAATGTATAATGCAATTCAAAATTATACGACAGTGGATGTACACTCATATTTCTTAAATAGCATTAAGAAATGTTTATCGTTCAATTTCATTTAAGTCGATTGAATTATATTTCTTTTTTTTAAAATAGCTGACATTGTATCAGATGAAATTATATAAGCAGTGAAAACACTAATGTGATTGTTTGGTTAACTTTTCATCATATAATCTTTCCAGTGGACAACACAGTCAGACAGAGAGGCGAGCCTGTAGTAACAGACCATGTTATTGCTCTGTAAAAGCTCCCACTTACTATCCTTGTCCAGGGACCCATTACTTCGGTAGGACTAACATGTGTGTAGGGTAAGTATCAAAAGACCAAAATGATCATACAATGTTTCATGAAAATTATGATTACAGTTCCAATGTCATTTGCCTCAAAGTTTTTTTTTTTTTTAATTTTATTTTTCATTTTATTATTTGTATTATTATTTTGTTTTGTTTTTAATGCAAGGATGTCGTATTATTGGTTGGTTGCAGAAATATATAAGAACCAAAAATAATTATTACTTTATTACTACTGTACTTCTTCTGCATTTAAATTGTTCATAAAATTATGATGATGCATAGTCTGTGTTGTTTCCTGTCACTGAATGACATCAAAAAGTTTCTAATTGCCACTTTTTCCATTAAATCATGGAACTGTAAATGGCAAATAACTTTGAAAGTTTGCAATGTATACAATGTATATTTATTTGATATTGCTTTTTGTTTTTAGAAGATTGAAATTGTTTCAGTATTGTTATTTTGAACTCACTATGAAAAACAAATCATTTTGGACTCACAATAATAACAGTTATTCTTTATTATTTCCCAGCTATACCACCCAGAAGAAGGTGTGTCCGCAGGCAGAGCAACAGTGTTGCCCTGGTCAATCACAGATCGGTTCCGTGTGTTCTCCGTGGAAGTAGGCGGAGCAATAGATGTCACCGTTACCAATCACAGCGTAGTACGTTGTTTTCTCCGTAGAGGAAGCATTAGGGGTGGAAGCCTTGGCACCCTATCTAGTTGATGCTCATTATTTATTATCCCCGGGCAATGAGATAAGAAAATCAGGTGACACTATGCTCGTCCAACCTGAAGTGACAATGTGTCCGAGGATTTAACCGTTAGAATTTCTTAAGAAGAAAAGAAGAGAAATGTCAATATAAGTGACAAATCATGCCACGATGCGACACCGCACGGCCATGTGCATGGCGTCATTTTCCGAGGAAGTCTTATCCGTAAATGGCAGAGGAAATAGGGGCAAGAGATGGACAAGGCAAAGACATTTGAATAACGGAAGTGAACAGTTTTGAACCTTTGGAAGTTCAAAGTTCACATCCTGTGTGTTCTTCATAATGATTACACATACTTAGGTGTACCGTTGTTCATAAGAGCAGAGTTGACCACTCCAAGAACAGCACTTCTTCACCAAGATAAGAGTCTAACATGTTAGCCGCAATCCTCCAGAGGACAAAGGGAGCGGTTGTTCATTAATTTGACTCATGTATCTTTTGAATATTTAAGTATTAGCGCCAGAATCACTGTGATTTTGTTGTGTCACATTTCCAAGAATCTGGACACACACCTCGCCCACCGAACGTTCTCTATTCTGGTTGGCTATTTCCAAGCGCGGTTGGGTCGCGTTGTTCTAAAAAATGTACAAGCTTTCATAAGTAAAGAGTACAATTGAATAATGTCCTAAGAGTACTATTCTAAATCATATCTGGGTAAGTTAGAGATGTGTCTCGGGGCGTGCGATTTGTTAAAAATCAGTCCTAAAATAAATTATAAGGTATGTGAAACGCATAAGCTGTTAGGGAATCTGATATGCGGGATTAACTTGTAGCTACATTACGTCATGTTTACGTCATGATGACATCACAACAGCAACATGACGTCCTAATTATCCTACATACCCGTGTGACTCAAAATTAAAAAGTATTGGACTTGTTTAATCACGGAAAATTACACATATCATTAATGGCAGAACTGTGTCAACGTGTCGGGCAGACGTATTTTTGAATCATTGACTGGCAATCTTAAAGGGATTATCATCCAGATAAGTTTTAAGTGAAATAGAAAAGTGCGTTCTCCTGATTATTTAATATCATGCGTTATTTATATGAATTAAAATGTGTGGTTAAAAGACGTTGTATTTGTGCATTAAAAGAAATGAAGGTGAATCAGGAATTTTTTTATTGTAAGTTATTTAAAGCTCGTGTATGAAGATCACGTTTGTTTTTATTGAGGCCTATACAAGGGGCGATTTCATCATTTAAGTTTGCAAGACATGAAAAAAGGAGTGCGGGGTAAAAGTTTCCTGGTGAACAAAATAAATTTGCAGATGGGCAACTTCTTAATAATGTATTCCACATAGAAATACGTTTTTGGAGTTAAGTTTGCATTGTCTTCGTTTGTGAGAAAAAACATCAGATTGTTTATACCGATTATACAGACTATACGTATCTTAGTCCGAGTTTCAATTCCGATGTTAACCATTTTCTTTATATTCAGACCCCCATAATCATACGCTTATAAGGCTATGACATCAAGCAGCGTTTTGGTTCAAGTTTGCAGGGCCAACTGCAAATGATGCTTTCATCACCAAGGTTCATGAGGTCAAACGTGTTAGTGGCGTGGCAAATTTGAACGCACGCCGTTGAGGGCAAGAGCCCGATACACGTGCGCACATGGGGAGCTGAAAATGAAGACCTTGGCTTGTACTGGGCTTGGATTTAAGAGTAATTTTATCGGATGTTAGGACGGGTTGATGACGTTTATGGTCTTTCATTACATGCGTCATGCCTTTGTTGTTATAGGAAATTGATGTCTTACAGAATTACGAAAAGCGGAAGCTTTTGAAGTTAAAGGCGAATATGTGCAATAAGTGTAATATAATCCAACTGAAAAAAAAAACAGTAATAACTTCCACCAAAAATTCTGCTTTGTTAAAAAGTTACAATGTTGTTAACCATGACATTCTATGTGAAAATTTCAAATGTTATTGTTCATGTTATATTGTACTCAAATTATTTTATTTAATTAAGTGACAAGTTTATGTCTCAGTAAGTACTTGCAAATGTGAAATGATCAAAGCATTTATTGATTAAGTCTCTCTCTTTATTATTTAATTGGATAGTGTAAATATTTATAAAGTGTATATAAGATTCCACGCGAGAGATGAATAAACAACTTTGTTTAATGTTTCTTCTTCAATTGCGACGTCTTTGTGAAATGCTTACCCTGAAAGAAAAAGACAGAGAAAGGAAAATGGAAGAAATAAAATGAAAAAAAGAGAAAAACTGACTAAAATTTAGAAATAGTAAAATTGGAATTTTTATGATTTAACTGTGGATTAATCTGCCCGGTTTCATTAATGCTGGATAGCGCTGTCCAAGAGAAAGTTCAGTAGTCTGCAAGGTGCCCCTCTGTATCGTTCAAACCATTTCCAAAATTGCAAATGTTAATTATGTTTATAAATATGGAAGACCGTTAACCACATTAAATGTGCCAATATTTCTTTATCCGTAATTAAAAGCATAACTCTTCGTTGTCTTTGCGGGACAATACGGAATAATTTATACCTTCTGAACCAATAGGAAAGGTCCTGCAGAACGCCCCCTACTGGCTGATTTGACCCTGACCTCTCTGACTGCACTGTATCGTCTGCTGAGCGATATTCACTAGAGCTCACCTGACGCACTGCATTGTGTTCTGTTTCGGATCCTTGCTGGTGTGTATGTGTGTGTTGGGGGGAGGGGAGGGGATGGTTTTCCTTGATCAATGATGGACTTATATCTGCAGTCTCATCTAATAATATCCCTTGGTTAGTTTTTCCTAAATCAGAATAAATGACGACATGGTTGAAACAGTGCTACAGCAACAATTATTTTCTTTCTTTTTTTTTTCTCACCTATCTAGTCGCAGTCGTTTGAATCCCGTGTTGGCATTACCCATTACGTCCCGTTTTTTTATTTCTATAGGGAGTGTTTAATTTATATAAATATGTAGTCAGAAAAGAAATAAGACGCAAAATGGGATCCCATTCAGGCTATCGGTCTACGTAGGCTACACCGATCCAACTGTTTTTATTCTCTTAAACGCCAGGTGGAGGCTTGTTATTCTGTTAAAATAATTCCATTCAGTGATAGTCATTGCTGAGTAGGATCGATCTACGTTGATTGATGGGAATGGACCCTAATCAGGGGCGGATCCAGAGATATTTTCTGACAGTCTTCCAAATTATCTTTGTTGATCCAGCCGTCATTTCTGTCCGTCTTCCGACAGAAAAAGTTAGATGCCGGTCATTGTTAACTTGAAAGTCTGAAGCCCCCGTCACACTTATTCGGAATCAGCAGGAGGAATCACATTAGAGGAATATTCGAACTGGCAAGTGACTTAAAGCCCCCGTCAAACCATTTCGAAATCAGTAGGAATCAAGCCGGAATTACTAAATTTAAAAATTCGTACCATATTCGGGAGGGAATTTCAAATTATCATAAAATATTACGGCTTTGTAAGAATGCCTCTGGAATACTAAGAATGCACATTGAACCCGCCTGGAATGATTCTTGCACATTCAAGGTATATTACCTCTCAAATGCAGCTCAAATGTAGTTGGAAAACTGTAGGGATATTGCGATAAATTTCCTCTTGCAATGCACTTCGAAAGTTTTTGACATGACAAAAACATTCGAGCCGGCCACAAGAATAGGTAAAAATATTTGGAATGCACTCGGAATTTTTATAATGTTTTTAGAATGCTCTTCGAATATCCTGGAATGCACAAATAATTGTATTTCAGACGCCATTCTTAATCATTCCGCCTCTAGTGTGACGGGGGTTTTATATCACGCCAGAATGTTTCGAATGTGCCTCGGATGAGCTGAAATATTAATGTTGCCAGCAATCGAACTACACTAGTGGGCGGTTCAAAGTATATTCTAAATATTCTTACTGCCTTCTTACAGCATCAGAAATATTCCTAGTTTTCCAACTACATTCGAACTTCTTTTGAGAGCTACACAGTCGAAAATGCACTCATCATTCCAGGCGAATTCAAGCGCATTCTGAGTATTCCAACGGCACTCTTACAATAATTAAGGTCAATTTGAAATTTTTCCCCGAATGTGGTGCGAATTTTAAAAATTCTTCGTTCATGCTCATTCTTCTCCATTCCTGCTGATTCCGAATAAGTGTGACGGGGGTATCAATCCGACCATGCTACGGTTAATAAAACATCTAGCACTGGAACTTGGAAGAAGGCCTTAAAACGCAAAGATCCCTTATTATGTCACTGACACTCGATCAAATCTCTGCAGCAGATCTCTGGCACCAATAGCTCGTCTTTTTCTATGTTGCGTGCACTAAATTTATTTGTCTTATGTGGGTTCATTACTGGGTGATTTAGAACCGCCATTCTGTTATGTCTGATTTAGTTAATATAGATCTTAACTTCATACAGTATGTTTGTTGGACTAATTACTTTTACATCTGCCATAAGTGAAACATCACATGCGTAAGGGCGCATTCCCATAGATTTTAGATCGATCTATGCCCGTGGGGAGTCTCACTAGATTACTGTCAGATAATCCGGCTTAAATGTCCGTCCCGCCTACTACAAGCTGTATGGGGGTAATTAAGTTTTGTGCCCGCTCGGCTGACAGCTATTTAGCGTGAACCCCCAGGGAGTTAGGTCGATCTAGTTGGATTGATCTTATATCTGGGAATGGGGTCTAAGACGTTAACCTACTTTATTATATATATATATATATATATATATATATATATATATATATATATATATATATATATATGTGTGTGTGTGTAAGAGTAGCTATTCTGAACTTTGGATTGTACAGCTTTCTCTTCGGTATGCTGAACTTCATCGTGCATGAACAAGGTCAGTAACGACATTTTTCTCTCATAAAGTCCGATTATAAAACGTCAACATGAAGGGTTATTTTGTGAGAATAAATTTATTTTAAAACACAAGTATCGTAGGCCTGATAGCGCTCGTAGCGTTCTCTAGCGGCAGTTTATACAGTGCACAGCAATCACCCATGTGCAGCGTAGCAGAATCTTAAAGCCGTTTCTATGAGATCTTGTAATACTTCAACTTTGCTTGTTGTTCTACATGTAGAAAGTGGATGTTTTGAAAATGATTTCAATTCATGGAAAACAAGGAACACAAACAATGCAAGTGACAAGTTACAACCCGCACGAAAATGCAGTAGTATCGAAGTAGCAAAGAAGCATTAACGCAGTAGTGGTGTGGAGCATATTTGCAGTAGAAATGCAGCATAGCCTACTGCAATTCTACTTCAAAAATTACATAGGGTCGTACAGAGGAGGAGCATTAATGCAGTAGATTTGCAGCTTGATAGAAGCATGTTTCAAATATACTAATTAGCTCCCCAGTCGAAGCAGATTTGAAGCATGTTTGCAGTAGAATTGCAGTAGTCTACTGCGCTGGAGTATCTACTTCGTTTGCGTGCGGGAATACTTGCACTAGTATAGAAAGAGGGACTTGTTTACGTCCACAGCCATCGATGTAACTAATGGTATGAAAATGTTAGAAATCGAGATCGGACACTGACAATAACATATGCAGTCGAGAGCAGACGGAAGTGCTTGTATAAACGTAAGTTCATTAATATTTTTATCAGTTTTGGGAGCTTCAAACTTTCAGACGCTATCACTCCAGTTGTATCAGGTCGTATCTTGCGTCCGCATAGCGCGTTTGATAAAACGTAGCTCACGTTTTAAATGAACTTACGTGGTAACAGGTATTGATTACGCTCTGCATGCTGGGTAAAAAGGACAAACGAGTTTCCTGGTTGTGTTCCGCAATCTGGAGTCGTTCCATAATGCGAGGTAGGAGTCTACAATAGACAAACTTACAGGGAATTAAAGGGTCGCTTAACGACAGTCAACGGAACAAGGTAATTGGGTTAATATTTCAGTTGATTAAAAGGGAATTACCGCAGTGGTTTAATTATACTACCCTGGGAAAATTATGGCTATGCAGTGCTAATAGTAATAAGCCAGTAGTTCTCATCCAGTTTTCTCAATGTAAGTTTTGTCATTCTGTATGCAAAAATGGTAGGTACAATATTATTCCGCAGAATTGCAGTCAGAACACGAGGGAAATGATCGCTAAGTTCTGCATTTTTCAGTAAAATTAATATCTTCAGCACTGTTAAGTTCCCTGGTCAGGTCCTATGATTTTCTACGCGGCCTCGTCTTCCACGCTGGTACATGTAGCTGATGCAAAACTGTAATTTATCCACGAATACACATCCCCAGGAGGACAAAAAAGGTATAACTAAACGGTTGACTAAAATACACGTCAGCAACTGAGGACAGAGTTCTCAGCAATAAATTCATATAGTACGCGTCTACGGTCGTTAAATCCTTTGCATTAACCGTAAAAAAGAGATGTTTCACTGTAGGCTGATACAGTTATGGTCTTAGCATAAATAAATAACGGATTTCTTGTCTAACGCAACTGCATTCAATCTGACACAAATTCAAGTTATTGTGGACGGGTCAAGTTATATTGAGGTATGTAATAGATATCTTATTTAGACCACGGGTCCATGAACGGGTTATAATGCATTCATGCGAGACGTGCGGTTATGCGAGTTACACCACGTCTAAGTCTTTTGTTCTTCACTTCCACCGTGGTCTAACATGTGTTAAAGAAGACGTAAAAAAACCTAGCCCTGTCAACTTGGCGTGGCAGCGTTTTCAGCAATTAGTTCATATAGGACGAAGCTATGACCGTAAAGTCCTTTGCATATAGATGCAGTTGTTTCACTGTATTGGCAGCAGGTGAAAAAAAAATGCCGCAGAGCACCCTCTTTTTATTTTTGGTCATTGACAGATTTGAACAACAGTGTTATCTATAAACTCCCGTACCTTAACTCAATTCCAGCACTTAAAACACGACAAATAAATTGAGGTAGCTGTATAGATTCTTATCAACTTGAATGGCACACCTTAGTTACAAATACCGGCTCCCACCTGTGAGAGAAACAATTTTTTATCTAGATCCTAAGGACCTTCTTTATCAGCAACATATGGTCTTTATTTCTTTTTTTTAATCAGCAACCTATGATTTTTATTGCCTTATTTTATCAGCAACCTATGTTTATTTTAATGTGGTGTTGTGACACTTCTCTATTATCAGCGGCCCGTTCCTTTGGCAAAGGGCGCTTAAGCCAGTTAAAGGTGCGAAAATGGACATTTTAGCCTTGCCGTCATTTTCAGTTACGTAAATAAATAGCTATACATTTGTCTATCGCAGCACAGTGTCAAATCAAATATAAGTTGCCGAGAAAATAAAAGCTATTTTACAGCTTATTTTGAAGACCGGTTGCCTATATGGCTGATACAAAAATACGGTCTATACACATTCCTCGGGTGACCTTAAACGTTTAACTAAACGTTTGAGTAAAACACTATAATAAATTCATACTGTACGCGGCTTTGATCGCTGGATCATTCGCATCCATATTGCCGTGAACAGAGATGTTTTGCTGTAAGCAGTTAGGTATAAAAGTCACAGCACAACAGTGACAGCATGGGTGCACGATTTGTAATAACCAGCTTGTTGGTCTTCAATTTGCTCTTTTTTTTCACCAAAAAGTCAACTGAGACAGGCAGATATAGATTTCTGCTACATAATTTTAGGGCTAAACCTCAAGTCTCTACCACAGTAAAGCTCTCTCTATCTGTCGATCCCTCTAGCTTTTGTAGTCTCTCTCCTTCTCTCTCATTTTTATTACATTTTTATCGCTTAACTCAATTTGCATTTTAAATGAACTTCATCTGATATGCAACTTGCTACAAACACCATGTTAATGGCCTGAATATATTATAGCTATTATAAAAAACAATGGATTTTATTATAAAAATCAAATTTCGTTAAATGCGTATGTGTATTATTACAGATACAATAGGTTAATTACTTATGAGGAAACGGACACAGGTGACAGTTACTATCTCAATCACGGCACTTCCAACTTCTTCCCCCGATTCTCGGTCCCATTTCTGTTACACACACACGTGCTCAGTTACATATATCACAGAGATTCTATTTTTGAAACGCACGCTAGCCGACAATTATCTAAACATAGTTGAGTAATTGATGGATGTATTGCGGCAGGTTTCTGCATCGGTGTCTTCTTGAGCATTTAACCTGTGGTGGGTTTGGAAGCAATCGTACGGTACGCCGTTTCTTTTTGTTAGTGATGATACCTTCTTTAACCTTCCTGTTTTACCTCTGGATAATGGGATATTGAAACCTGCAGCAACATTGGATATCAACGTCACGTGGCCAGACAAATGGCCCAAGACAACCGCATTCACTCCTACACGCGTTCAGGTTGTTGTGGTTGGGTCGAGCTTTATTTACAGGTATGTGCCATATATGAACTTTAACAACTTGGATGAACTGAAAAAAGTTTATTCCTATCCTGAACACCGTGAACACCGTAAACTTCGATATCCGATCTGTATGCCCGTTATGCCGTAAAAAATAGCAATATACAGGTATTTGTAATACCCGTGTACTTGTACCTGTACATTGAAGATTTTTCACGCTTTCCGAAGCCGACAAAACATCACAAATGGCTTTACACACACTGACTAAACCGTCCACTGGCTTTGTATGCACCGACTGCTGTCACGCTCAAACGTGGCTCACGCAAGAACACGAGAACTGCTCAACAGTGAAATAGCGCGAGAGCTACTCATGTAGTAATGAGGGTTATGCCTTTTGTCCTACAGTTTTTTCCCCCACATGGGATCTTGAGAGAGCCTTGTCTTCAACCATGCAGATTCACATATACATGTACCCTTAAACAGGGGTTTGCCTCTATCTTATCTTGTTTTACTGTTACTTTGGTGTTTTAATTCCAGCACAATCGCAGTGCATTGGTGTGATATTGAAGTGAAGCTTAGTGTATACACACGAATATCTGGATACAAGGACACTAGGAAACAATGAGGGTAGGAAGGTAAGTCATGATCGTAACCATATTTTAACGTACTGTTGTATAAGCAAATAACATTTATGTAGTCATATATTCACAAGCCCAGCGAAGATCTGTTTTTGCTTTAAGACTGGAAATTGTCATAAAAGGCCCTGACTCAAAATAAAAGGTCACAAAGGAACGGCTTCCAATTTATTTATACTCTAGCTTTTCTGCTACACTGATATTAAACTATGTTTTCGTCATTTTTTAAATCTAATTCAGGCCTTCATTTCAGCTACATGCTACCTACACAATAAAATATTATTCTGACGTTTTCGTATCATATTTGGAAAACTGGTATTGGCAATGGGTAATGTTGAAAAGCAAGAAAGGCTGGGAAAATGATTGAAGCTATGCTTGTAGACTTCAAATTTACCGAATATTATCTCCTTGATAAAACTTTATAATTTTCATGTAATTGAAAACCAATCCTTAATATTTTGACCTATAATAGTAAAAAAAACCGAGACAAAAATTGGACATCCGTGTATTCTTTTTTGTTAGCAATTATCCATATTAAAGAAAAACTAATTTTATTCAGTGAAAACGTCATTTTGTTTTACTATTTTACCATGCTTGTCAAAGTACTCGCCGAGTTATATATAAATACACTAATTATTCGTCTAAAACGCACTTGTTTAGTTTCAGAGAACGGATATTTCTCAGCAAAAAACTATCATGTGAAATCTGACGACGGCTAAGAAAAACATGTTTTAATTTACTGTACATTCTTTCCATGAATTAGTTATATATCCAAAGACTACCACATAAGTGCATAAATATAAATGCTAATTTCATTAATTTGTTTGTAACTACTTATTTGAATGCTTACATGGTCCCTATACTTTTTTCTTCATTACCCAGTGAGGTGTTACACTGTATTACACAACAGAGAAGGTGCATTCGATTTATTCTGCCTTAAATCTCGAGTCATGAGTGCTATTATTTTTGTTCTAGGACAGGCGTCAGCAAAATTAGGACGATGGGCCTTTTGGCATTTGTGACTGCCTTGGTCTACCTAACCTTGAACTGGGAAAACAGCCTGCCTTCCATGGAAAACATTTTGCCAAAAACCAAACTGTCGAGAGGTGACCTAAACTGGAGCTTTGAAGCAATCATGGAATTTCCGAGAAAATATACATGTGACAGATGGATCGTTGTGGATACAGGAAAACGTGCCACTGCTCAACACATTAAACAGGTGGCTGATAGACTGCATACTCCCTGGTGCGCTGTTGTAGTTTCAGATACCTTACCCTCGTCTGATACATTAGCATTACAGCAGGAGGACCGTCATCACTTGCATGTAGTTTTACCTAATAAACAAAATGGAATAATATACTTAAATGGTGCCACGAAGTACAGCGCTCTTCTCAAGTCCGACGTGAGACGAAAAACGATTGGCTACTTGTTTGCTATTACCAGTGGAGCGACAATGATTTACGACGACGATGGTGGAATAGAATATGAATGGCTGACCTCTGGCCCGCCTCTTCATGACAAAAATGTTGAGCTCCCTCTCGTTATACCAGCCGGTCAAGTAAACTTTTGGAACCCTTTGGCGTATTTCTACTCTAGAAGTGATATCTGGCCTCGTGGTTTCCCAGGTAACATGTCGAGGCGTCCTGCCTGTAGTGCTCCCCCGTTACCGACCGCATTGCGCAATTCAAGCGTGTTACTTTCCCATTTTCTCACAGGTGGGTATGCCGATGAGACGGAGGGAACTCTGAAGTCGCCACTGAAATTCAACAAAGCCATACGTGGTCCCGTGGAAGTACAAAAAGGTACATTTGTGCCCTACGGCCAGCATTCAACGTTACATATGTATGATGCATTTTGGGGACTTCTCGTACCCACCACATGCGAAGAGTCGATATCTGATATTATCCGTGGTTATATCACTCAGAGACTTCTGTGGGACATAAACGGTAGCATGTCGGTCTCCCCGCCCTGGACCAAAAGAAGAACCTCATCGAACCGAAGAACCAGGAAAAGCTCTCATAATTATGATAAAACGCTAATCGAAGTAGTCAATCATTTAGAGACGTGGTCCAGCAAATCGACTTCAATTGATGCGAGACTAAAAGAACTGTATCTACATTTATTCGAGAAAGGAATCATTTTGAAGGAAGATCTGTTAATATTAGACACCTGGTTAGAGTTGCTGACGGCCGCCGGGTATGTCTTCCCGCGAACCCACGTGCCAGGGTGGGCCGAAAGGCGGGCGATGGCCAAACCCTGGGACAGTGTAAGGTTGTGTGTACATTTCAATAACGTACCCAACAAGCAAGCCTTTACAACTCTGTATCAAATGTACAGTAGACATTTCAAGGAGATATCATTTACTGGGGACGGCGCTAGGCAACCGTTTATGGACCCAAGCGTTCATTTTCTGCCCTGCACAAAAGAGGAACAAGATGGTGGCAGGTTTCTGCATCGATGCCTTCTTAAGCATTTAACCTATAGTGGATTTGGAAATAATCGCACGCCGTTTCTTTTTGTAAGTGATGATACCTTCTTTAACCTTTCATCTTTTTTGTCCTATCGTCGAGATGTTCTCTGGATATTGGGACCTATAGGAACAAGCGATATTGACGTCACGTGGCCAGACAGTTGGTATTGGTGGCCATTCCCGTACGGTGGTGCCGCGCTGCGGAAAATCCTCGATATTCTGCCTGGAGAATGGAGGGACCACCTGGCCCTCATGAAAAATTGGACGCAGTCAGGAAAACGATTGGTATCTGTATATAACGCAGACACTGTATTCATTCCAAATAATCGATACCAGACACGTTTTATTGAAGTTTTGAAATGGCTGACGGGGGCTAACATTCCGAGTTTGTTTGCTGAAATTGCTTCGCCATTGCTAGTTGACCTAACCACTGAGAAGTTAGACCGATCTGATGTTATTTCATTAAAAAGCAATTATCCACATACAGGTCTCGAGACTGCGCTGAAGGCGAGGTCATGCAATTTACTACACCCTTTAAAGTTGTCCAAGGACAGGGATAGGCTTATCTGGCTGTCCATGTTTAAGAGTGTGGAAACAATTTTATAGGCGTCACCAAAGCTGACCTGCAAAAATTATTTTTCAAAATAAATTTTATTTTTACTCTTATTTTGCTCGTAATTTGATAAAAGATTTGAAGCATGAATGTCGTTTATTTGTGCTTGCATTAAGAAGAACGTCTCCCTTTAAACTGTCATGCGAGTTTTGTGTCAGCTGATGTGTTATTGTCTTTAATGGCACTCCTTGAACTGCTCTCCGGTTGAAGAAAAACATTTGATAAATACACATAATTTAAGACATATTTTTGATAATTATTAACATGCAAATCTATTGATATGTTATCATTACCTATGCTACATGTATATGTGTAAATGTAGCTACAGGAAATGCAAACAAAGCTTGATTAATGCAGAGTTTGAGTTGTCTCAATAATCAGAAACTAATTAGAAGTATTCATCAAACGTTTTACAGTTTTCGTCCACCATACAGCCACTTGTTTCAGTACTCACCCAGAACGATACAAAAAATAATAACAAATAAATAAATAAAGAAAACATATATATATATATCACTAAGCGGCTAAAACAGGACGATATCACCCCCAGATTATACGAGTAGTTACCAACTACTTTGCTGTTCAAGTGCCTCGAGACAAATTAAGAAAACACATGGTGTGAGAAAAAAACCCTTACCATGTCAACAAGCACAAGTCAGAAAATTAGTATGATTCGGTGAATTGTCTTCCCACATATATATTGATTTAACATACCCCCCGATATGGTTGGTGTATTGACAGAATTTAGGACATTAATAACAAAACATCAAATGTTGTAGTAAGTTCAGGAAAATAGAAAAGAAAAAATTACTGACGACGAGAGTTTTTCATGATATATCACCACCCAATAATGTCACCACCCTTACCCATCACCATCCAATAATGTCACCACCCACTACCCGTCACCACCCAATAATGTCACCACCCACTACCCGTCACCACCCAATAATGTCACCACCAAAAACGTATATATATATACGTTTAATTTCACTTCATGTTCTATTACGACTTCAGTCTCGACAGTATACGATAAAAAAAACTCAAATTGATTTTGAGGAGTAAGTTATCACCAACATTAACATTAACATTCTATTCTGTACTCCCTAACATATTCTTGAAGATGTTCCAATACCATCTCCTTAGTCAAATGATAATGTGATAAATCATACTCGTGACGACCATATTTGTAGCGAGGATTATCTTTGACATACGACGTCATCAAGGCTTCCCCTTCTGGCGACATTTCGATGTCAAAGTGATCGTAAATTTTCTTCACGGCATCCACTGGAGAAGCTACAATATCATCAAAAGCTATGTCAATGAAGCGATATTCCTCTTCGGGGTGGTCTCTTCTAAATTTCACAATTTCTTTCTTGGGAACCGTCCAAGAATGCAGTACGTTTTGGCCTAACTGCTTCCAGTCGATGTCATTTGGAGTGTATCCATTGCAGGTTAAGGAGAACTCAGCAAACGACGCAATGGAAGCGGTGCTTAAAGTGGGATTTCTGTAGGTGTGGATAAAAAGAGCGTCTGGATAAACCTGCAGTATGGCTTCTATGTGTAACGCGTGAAACGAATTCTTAAAGATCAAGCGTTTGCTACCATTTATGGAATCTGTAATAACAAGAAAAAACTTTGAATATTAGATCAGTAACAATAACGACAGCGTACAGTTGTACTAGTAATTAAAGATAGACGTTTACCTTGCCCTCTCGCCAATAGTATGAGTTGCATCTGTAACTTGTGAAAACGGTAAGCTTCCAGCCATTCATCTTTGGTTCTTTGGTTGTACCAGGCGAGATATTCTTCACAATTCCCCGTGTAGCACAAACAGTCATGGTGCAACCCCATGGTATCAAAGAGAAGAAAGCACTCGTAGGGACTCTCTGGACGAATGTGGTGAATTGCTTTACATTTTGGTGATTTTCGGTACATGGTTTCTAAAATATAAACGATACACACAAGATATTAAAGGCACACAATGCACTATGAACATGACATTGATTTATTAATTGACGGGATGTTCTTCATTATTCTTAATTTTTGTGGCCAAATTGCATATAAAAGATATCCATTTACAATGAATTTTTTTCTCCGTGTATCTTTTTCTTTTTATAAATCTACAGGAATTCACAAGTTGGGAAGGGAACATCATAACTTATTTTGGGGAATTCTACAGGGGCAGGTATTTTTAGAATTAGACCAAATAGCCCACTTCTAGTAAGACATAGAGCTATGGGTATAATTTGAGTCTGTGAATCCACCATTTTGGAAAGGCAAACAACGCACCTGTGCCTATAACTATTACGTATAGTGGGGTTAATCTCAATTGAATCATTAGCAATTTTCAATTTTTTTCTGAGACATATATGTTGCCTAACATCTGAAAATCTGCCCACAACAATTATTCAGGTTAGTAATGCTTTCAAAATGACAGACAAGAGATCAAGAGCTTCATCATCGACAATTTAAGGAACCGTTATGTCTAGTATGAATTTTCTAATCTTTGAACAGACCTGCTATTTTTACAATTCCAATTGAGTTCAGTCACATAGCTGTATGCCAAGGTCAACCACAGAGCAGAATCTCCGAAAATAGGAGACTCCATTTAGGTCACCTTTGTCATTCAAAGTAATTTCACTCAGCAAAAGATGAACGTCTTCAAATTATAAAAATAATATGACTGATTTATGTATGTTCTTCATGTTTACGGTCAGAGACGAGATCACCATCGTTAATTGAAGCCAGCAAAGTAGTATATCTAAAAATTGTTGTCAGATTTGCGTTTAACATTTATAACTGCCTCAGAAATCACCCGCCAATGGACATGTTTGAGATTTTACTCTACCATTATGCTAGTAAATTTCAATATCTACAGGTAATTGCAAAATGTTGACAGATAACGGCAAAAGAAAAATAAAGTTCTACTCACTTAAGTAAATCAATAGACAAAGAAGGCATGTGAATTTTTGTACCTAGCTGCAGCGCATGGTTACGCATCGTATTTTGTCTTCCAATTGGCTCCATCAATTCATAAAATTTCGGACCTGTGTTTTGGGGATCCTTGCATAGTAATCTCTGAAGAAATATCGTGCCAGTTCGAGCTGCTCCGATAATGAAAATAGGCCTCTTGATTAAGCACTGAAAATACATGTTTAATTCATCTCAACCCGCTAGTTACTACACTGTTCGATGCCATTCGTAACGTAGTTTGGAGCTTGATTATGTGCATTTTAATGTTAATAAAATATTCAGTTTAACATAAGTCAATCTATTTCAGTACTAATTACAAAGATTATCATGATATATTTTACACAATAAAATATAATATAATATAATATAATATAATATAATATAATATAATATAATATAATATAATATAACAATGCAATTGGAGCATAACCATTTTGTTATTGATAATATCGGTCAATAATACAACAAACTTAACAATAAAAATCATTGTTTAAAGGGATAATAACTCTTCGTTTAGGCCAAAAAATTAATTTTCCTGGAGTGAACAATTTTCCCATACTTACCAATGGTTAATATATCCATTTTTACATTCAAAGTTGGTCCCTGGATTTTTTCTTAAGAGGTTTTTTTCTTACGAGCTTATAACAAAGTATAGCGATCAGTGGAGGTCACGTGGTTTAAAGACAAGATCAGGTATCCGAATAATTACTTTAACTGCCGTTTTTATGTTAAAACAGAATAAATTATATTTCTATGAGTTATTCACAAAGTTTTTATTGTGAAATATAGATCTCATACAAAGGTTTATTATCCCTTTAATTTTATTCAGATATTTTACTCACTTGAGACAAATCAAAAAACTTAAGTTCTCTTGAAATGGCTAGTCGATTCTTCAGGATTTCGGTCCAACGGTTTTCAAATGTAAGTCTGGCCTCGGCTGACAAATGAATGTCTTCTCGAAAGCATTTCAGCATAATAATGAATCCTTCGTACCACCATCGTCGTGTAAGGTCATCTGACATCAATATTTTTTGCTCCTCTGCGGTAAATTTCCTCAACAAACTTTCCTCCGTGAGAGGACTCAGTCGCCTCCCAAGCACAAAACGACATACCCAGTCCAGTAACATAAGACAATAAGAAACACAGAAAGCAAACATTTCAGAAGCGTTAATCGACCCTGTACGCTTTCCAGGCACGTTTTTTCTAGTCCCTTTAATGACGCTGTTATTGTCCTTTTGCCTTCTAAGGATGGTCATGTTAAATACCTTTAATGTTTCAATTGCATGAAAAAGGTCATTTTCAACGGTCATCAGACTGAAGAGAATCCAACGTCTGTATACATTTTATAGGGTGTATCTGCATTTGAAAATTAATAATGGACATTGAGTAGCCATTGCTTTGTTACAAGCATTATGCATCCTTTTTTTATCTTCAATGAACTACTAGACCGCTGTATATATCTTTGAAATAGGGAAAATGATTTCATTAAGAAGTTGCAGTAGATGCTGTTTGCTTGGGTAGATACTAAACACGTGCTCTTCCGTCCTTAAGAACTCGAAGACCTAAGCCGCAAACAGGCATCCGCACCATCCCCTACCCGCACCCACCCACTACCTACCTGTATCACCCCCTCCTACCCGTCACCACCCCCTACCCGTCACCACCCCCTACCTGTCACCACCCCCTACCCGCACCCACCCCTACCCCTCCCCATCCCCTCCGCCTGCCCACTTTCATGAGAATAAAGTTGTTAAAAATGCGAGGAAGCACGTAGAGGAACAGGTCAAAAAATCTGAGAAAGCTACAGGTTCAACACTTTGATTGTCTCCCGTTGTAGTCGTTCCTTATTTAACTTGTGTCAGTGGGCCTTTCATGACATGATGTTTATATTTACGTAAATTTAGACCACCTGCCAATATCACATTACAGTAACAGGCGTCAAATGTATGCCTTCTACATGTATATATAGTTTGAAGAACTCATACAAATACACTGACAAATTTGTCAAGAGAGTTGCATCTACAGATTCCATGAGCTTATTAAAGTTGAAAATGTTTGCCTGAATGTCGGGAATATATTT